TGCTGATACTATAAGATACTGTGGGAAGTCTTACAGATTTCTGAAGACATTAATGCACTGAGATCTCTATTATTAGAGCTGAGCATGTTGAAGAAGAAATGCAGAGCTTAATTTTCTATACTTTTCATCTGACAGGCATTCATACTGGCTGTTCTATTAAAAATATCAACTCTTTTGCCTGCTGAGAAGTAACTAATACAAACATCTCTTACATCTAATTTATTCTTTCAGAATTCTGTAGCTCTTTTATCATTACTGGCAAGATCTTCTGTATTTTGCAAGAAGATACATATTAATATGGCTGATCTAGTTGACAACCTGACTGAATTGTGGTAATCATGAAGCTGGAGAAGCTCTATTAGATGTTTGTTGAGTGACTTTACTTAATATTCTGACAGAACACCAGTCTTTTCTTCTGATTTTGTTTATTTCAGGTGCAACAATGCTACATATAAGTGTACTTGAAATGAACAAGAAATTCATATTAAAAGAATTTAATTTATAAGTTAGGACTGGAGACTGGCCTGCATAAAACCTGATGAAATTATTCTTATTATCTAGTATACTATTACTGCCAGCAGCTTTGATAAAAGAATTTATTTGCTGAGATCTCTGCTTTGCTCAAACAAGCTGCTCTTACTGAAAGATTAGAAAACTCACATTATACATAAAGACAACATTTTAGTCCAACTGAATGTTCATCTTGACTATATCTTTAATGAATTGGGTAGCTACAAATTCTCAGAAACAAATAGATTCTTTGTACAGTGAGTAATGAATACAATTTGCCACACATCATCTGTATAAGAGCTCTGACTTAGCACTTTGCTCTGGAATAAACTGGAAATTGTGGCATATAAAAGAAATATGCTGATCAAGATGCTCTGCTCAGACAATTCTATTAAGAGAACTATATTCATTTTCTTTCTGCTATTTATTGATAGATTTAGTCTATATTAAAACATGTACTGAAATATAGCTGATTTCTATATGATTTCTGCAGAACTTAATGATTCTGAAAGAAGATAATAAAATAATGTATATATAATTGCTCTCAGGTCTCATGCTACAAATTTTTCTAATGTTATAGAGGTGTTGGCTCCTGGTTTACAAGCAGTTGAAAGAGAATTTGACATTATGATAACTGGTGAAGAAACTGTCAGAGTCATTACTTCTTGTATTTCTTATCTTGATGACATACTAGAGTAAAATAATAATACTGGAATCAAATATTCTACTACAACAGTCTTCTGTTAAAGCTGTACTGTTTCTGATGCAGAGAGATTTAATATGAATTTTGACTTGATGAAATACAGCTGATATCATTATCAGCTACTCAATTTGTAAGTCAAAATTAAGGTGAAGCAGACTGTTTGTGAGTGAGAAGCACTGTAGAAGATCTATAGATTAATTAAGAAAAGTTCTTCAGTTTTGAAGATCTGTCTGATACTGAATCTGATAATATTTTTCTTCTCTGATCTTTATTATAGTGAATTTTCAGGCCTGTTCAAAATTGCACATACATTATTAATATCACATATATTAACACCTGAGAGGCAGAAGAAATACTGCCAAACTCTACAGAGATTTTTATTTTAAAGATGCTGAATCTGACTGCAGTTTCTAATTATCTATCTGGAGTTTTATTAAATTCAGAAACATGTCTGAGCTTTAATTATGATTTTAATTATACTCTGCTTTACTCTAAAGTCTGACTGAATTCAGACTGTTGTTCAGCACACTCTCTATAATTTTTTTAATAAATAATCAATTGATTCTGACATTTTGTATTTGTTGCTTGCTAAAATCTTTGGTGCTATTGCAAGAAGTAATTTACTATTAACTTCTTAGACATCTGTTGAGTACAATGAACTTAAAAGTGTGGTTGCCAATGCCTGAACTATACTTCAGAAAGTAATAGATGCTACTGTTATAACTGCCAAGACATTATAGTTAGCTAGCCAGGCAGTATGAATGCTGAAATTATAGCAGAATTCACCAGTATTTAATTAAATTGTGATATCTCTAATAAAGAATATTTTGATTAACACTGTCAGTATTACTCTGAAAGCAGGTAAGATGTTACATACTTTGAAATATCAATTAAATATATATATTGGGGTACACTATACTAATCAGGCAAAGAAGTATGCTATATCAAATAACTGCAATATACTGATTAGAGAGAATAAATACTGTAAATATAAAGTATTTGTGCAGTGAACTAACAAGTGTAATGTTGAAAAAATTTTACTGATTCATGAGAGCTTCAAATATACTATATTCTTGATACTTGATGGAGCTCTTATGAAATTGAAATCTTATATCAGCAGCCAGATAAAGTAACTTTATTATAAATGTCTGATTCTCATGCAAGATCTTGTGCAATTGGAACACAATAAGTAACAAGATGATGATGAGAATGCTGATGAAGCTGATAATTCATATGCTATTACTCTCTTTTATATTTTAATCAATGTTTACTGCTGACTACCAGCTAGCTGTAAAGTCATGAAATTACTTAATTTATAAAGCACATAACTTTCTGAACTATTAATTATGTATTTCTTTTTGCAAAAGCTCTGACTTTTATACAGCAGTAATTAAGCATATTAACATATACTTGATGAAGATTTGACTCCAATCTAATTATTTCAAAAGCTGATCTTTACATTTAATAAAGATGTGCATTGCACTACATTAAAACTTGATAATCTGATTGAGTATACTTATGTGTCAGGCACCAAGATTGAGCAAATAAAATGCATATTCATCTATAATCAGGACAGCTGCTGGAGGGTTTTTTTTGTCATGTTCTCTGCTTATGAAATTCAGTGCAAGAGAGTACTAGATTTGCTGATTTTGCAGGTGAATTGAGATGAGATTCATATAATTGGCCTACCTGCAATCTGTAAATCAAGTCTTTACATAATATCTGTTAGTAAAGATTCTGAAAGACTCAAACTGGATTTTACTCTGCTGACTATCTTTCTCAACTGCACTTGAAGTGTTTCCTTTTTATAGATGGATCAGGCAGTTTGATGTATGTAGTATTGTGTATTAGTTGAAATCTCTCCAGTGTCTGCTGGAGTAACTATACTATAATGGTTTCTATACTATAATGGTTTCTATACTATAATGGTTTCTATACTATAAACATTTATAAACCTGAAAAGGTATCCTGAACATTTCTAGATATATTTGTTGATCAGGGGTTTGAATGTTTCCTGATTTCTACATTGAGGATTGGAAGCTATGTTTCTGAATTCAGAATGTATATATTTTTAAACTTCCAAACAACTGTGGATTCAGATAAACATATATTCCAATGTAAATGTAGCGGGACTAGTGGATCTACGGTTTACAAATCCTCCCCATTTCTGCTATGGCATTTATGATTTAGCCGCCCCTCTCAACGCCCAAATCCATCACATCGCATTATTGATGCCTCGATCAGCATCAACAGCTTGAAGCTTCCTCGATCACACACCAGACGATGAGTGTTGGCTGGAGGCTTACTCCCGTCGGCTTTTTCAGACCTTTGTTTTCTCGGCTTGCCATTTTTCAGCAGCGCTACCAATACAAAAACAAAAAATTCCCGACGTCGCAGCGGCCCCAACTCGTTTCGCAGCCAGGACATCGATTTTCGTGTTTTAGTACCATGACTGAGTCAACACCATTATATCACCCAGAGTCGGATGTTGAGGATTTGGAAGGGTATAGGCCCGGCGGTTACCATCCAACCCTCATTGGCGACACCTTCTGCGATGGGCGCTACACTGTAGTTCACAAGCTTGGTTCTGGTGGCTATTCCACAATCTGGCTTGCCCGTGACCAACAGCTTCAACACTATGTATCACTGAAGATACTGGTTGCAGGAGCTTCACAGGATACACATGAGAGTGAAATTCTCCAGTTGCTCTCAAAAAGCAACCTGAATTGTCCTGGAAAGCAATTCATACCCACACTGCTGCACCAGTTCTCATTTGATGGCCCTAATGGACATCACCAGTGCTTGGTTGGAGTTCCTACTGGCTGCAGTGTAGCAAGTTCTAAGGAAAACAGTACAAACTTCATGTTTCCCCCTGATGCTGCCAGATCTCTAGCTGCACAGCTCATTATGGGTTTGGCTTATTTGCATTCAAATGATGTATGCCATGGAGGTATGTAATATACACGCTTGCTTCCTAGGGCGGAATGTTCTCCATGCTCAATGAATATAGATCTCCACCTGCACAACTTTCTCCTTCGCGCCCCAAGCTTCAACCATCTAAGCACAACAGAACTATATGAGCACCACAGCAAGCTGTATGAAGTCCCTGTCCGGCGGCTTGATGGAAAGCCGACCGCACCACATGCACCGCCCCGCGCCACTTACCCCATGATTTGGAGAATGCCCGCGAACAAAGTGGCCGATCCCGAGATCCTCATCTCAGACTATGGAACATCTTTTATCGCATCACAGACACCATCTCCAACTCTACACACGCCAGCCCTGTATGCTCCACCAGAAGAATTTTTCAACAAGCCCATTGCAATCCCCAAAGCAGCTGACATCTGGACACTGGGAGTTGTTCTGTATGATGCTGTGGGTGAATGCCCATTATTTGAAACATTTGCATGGGACCCGGATGACATCATTGCTGAGATGGTCAACACACTGGGTGATATGCCTGCAAGATGGTGGGCTGCTTGGGCTAACCGCTCTGAATTCTTCAACCCAGATGGTTCATGGATCTCCAACTTTCAGCGCATCAGCACGCCTGAATTCCGGCGTCTGCATCAGCGTATGTGGGACATGGGTCGGGGTGAGACGCCGGAGACTTGTCAATGGGATGTTGCTGCTGGGGAGTTCAAAGCCCTGGAGGATATGCTGAGATCTATGATGACGTTTGAACCGGCAGAAAGACCAACCGCGAAACAGCTCTTGGAGTCGGAGTATATCGTGAAGTGGGCGATGCCAGCGTGGGAGAGGCAGGTGGAACGGAAGAGTGCCTTGACTAAACATTGATCTCTCCATAATTGTTGTAGCGTTAGGCTATCTCGAAATTCGAGTATCCCAAGACATTAGGTAAAGAGGCCATAGAAAGTCAGTATTTTCCTTAATACAGCTTTTTGAAGCTGTTAGAAGAGCCGATTTCTTCCCAAGTGAACCATTGCTTGGTGGCCGCGGCTCCGCCGTTCGCTTGAGAGCTGGATACCCTTTAGCCGCCCCAACTGTTTTCTGATGAACACGGGTGTATCTGAGCCGGTCGATAAACTCTGTGAAAATAGGAGCGGGCAAAGAGGGGAACAGAAAATTCCAGTAGGGTGTGGGAGAGACTTTAGATCAGCTAGGATTTGGTTGAGCTGATCTTGAATGGACCTTTTCTGTGATATATCTAGCCCTGCCCAGATGGCTGCCAGTGTTGTCGTGGAGGTGTAAGTCATAAAAATTAAAGAGACATCGTTCATTCGCAGTAATCCAGATGGTCTTGGAGCAGGCACACTCGGCTTGTGCACTTCCAGGTACTGTAGTGTTGTATATTCAGTGTAGTCCAGCCCGTCCTTTATTGCTTTGACGACAATATTTCCATCGCATTTGAAAACCATTTTCTTTCGAGGAAATGGGCTTTTCCAGAGAATTTCACAGCGCCGCATAAGCCCTACTAGCGCTTCGGACATATCTGCATCCTCCAGCAGACTTCGGACTGAGTCAGCCAAGGGAAATATAATGGCGGTGGGTTCGGAAGGCCTTAGAAACACGCGGATATCTTCTTCAGTTGATTCGGACGTTGTTGCAGCAGAAATAGGCGTTACTGGCAGAGAAGTTAGAAAAGGCAGGCTCTGATCATGGAGGGAATCTTAACTTGTTGGAGGGAGTAACGGAGTCCGCATTTCAGAAAGACGCCTGGAGTAATCCTTCGGGAAGTATGATGTCAGGTCAATTTCTGGGTCCGCTGCCACCGCCTTTTGCAGCCGCTTTAATGTGTGGATGTTGAATCGTGCTGCTTTTGAAGACTGTTGGAGGGAGGCAGCGACTCTATCATCGAGAAACATAGGTGGAAAAGCAAACAGAAGAAATGCTGTGGTCACCCGCAAGGCGACAACCGCAGCGCAGAAATTGGATCCATCTTTATATGTGGCTTTGTCACCCTTTTGACCATAATACGGAGCAAAACGCCAGATTCCTGTTGCTAAACCCAATAGACATTCGGCTACTAGTGATGAACAGAAGGAAGCGCTCATCTATTGGATCAATGGCAGAAGAGGTTAATTGGCAGTCGCCCATCCAACATTCGGCCACCAAAAAACCTCGGACTGGTTCAGGAAATTACCGAGTCTTTCCTCTCCGTCTCCTGAGGCTTAAATTCAGCTGCGCTGAATTCTCTCTCCAACCGCGTGCATACCAATTCCTCGTCATACGCTAGGCCAACTTTCGCACGGAATGGAACATCTTTTATCCACTAGATCACAAATATTTCGCCATCTCAATTGCGTCCACCTCTCGTCCGCCTCGTCCTCGTCCGCCACCTCGTCCTCCACCTCGTCCTCCTCAAACCATGGTTTCACGAATGAAACTCTGCACCCTTTGCAACAAGGTAGTTGCTGCAACAAACTTCTCTCGGCACGTAACCTGTCAGTGCCCAGAGAGAAATACGGCTATCATCTGTGGGAAGAGTTCCTCCCGATCATTCATGTGCCAGAGGAAAGAGGCGACGCTGTCCGGTCTGCCACAAGTTGAAAGATGTTAACCATATGAAGCGTCATATAGATCGCTGTCAGCGACACCAGACCACTTCAGGAGCATCCAATCAGCCCCTTGGTAATGGCCCAGCCATTTTTCTGCGTATTGGACTGGACTGACCCCTCACACAGAGCACCGCAACTCAGCAGAATTAGTTGCACTCCTTGACGAAATATCCAGCCTCCAGAGTGACAGAAAATTCCCTGAATGTGAACTTGGCAACCTCGAGTTGCTTGTTGATGGGCAGGAACTACATTGGACGAGACCTGCTTTGATACCAATATCTGAAGTCTGGGACGAGCAATTCTCACCGCTTGATATATTCGATGCTGTGCGTTCCAGCATAAAGGACTTGCCTCCAAACTGCGTCTACAGAGATGGTGAACCCATCACAGAAGCAGAACAGGAATGGAATATTAGCAATGCCTTCTATCAGGCGGGCATCCCTCTCCACAACTCCGACCTTTCAGCAAAATCTTCCTTGATGAATGTCCCTCTTCCAGGGAAGTTCCGCCGCCTTCGGCCCTGCCAAGCGCTCAGGAACCAGCTTAGGATCGCATCTGATCATAATCTCGATCTCTTGGCTAATTTCGCACCTGCTGGGACCTTTGTTGATATTCACCTCGGTTTGTGGAAACTCTCCCTTAATTAATAGCTAAAACAGCCGCCTGACTTATCAGATCAGAATCAGCATGGCTTGTCTCAGTCTGTGGGGTATTCCAAGCATATATGGCTCCTGTATCCACCAACAAAAGAGAACCTTAGGGTGTTTGCACAGTCCTCTGGGGAATCAGGCTGCCTCTCCAAAATCTCAGGCAAACTTGTGGAAGGTTGCATCGCACGTGTTGATTCTTCCAGGGTTGTCTATCTTCCCCTGGCTGGTTACATGCCACCTTCACAACAAAACCTGGGGCACTGGTTGGGATCAACTTCAAATCTCTTGAGGGTCTGGAGATTATGGCCCGGAGTGTTGCCATACACCTCCCATATATATACCAGGTTCCTCAGGCGGTGCTGGAAGATTTCAGTGAATATGCCAGAGCCATATTGTTCTTTCTTGACAACAAACATGACCCTCAAATCATCACAACTGTGCTCAAGAGCTGGATAATGTTTTCAAAAGGCCTGTCAGGTGTTCAGCAGCATGTGGGTTTTCAGTCAGCAGTGCTTGCTTTTCTTGATGGTTTGAAAAAGGGATTGTCACAGAAAGAGGCATGGTGCTGTGGGACAGCTTACAAAAATGTCCTCCGCCACATTGCTCACGCACATGGTGTGGCTGGAATGTAACTAGCAGAAAGAAACAGCAGCAGTGATAATGAAGGGTGGGCAGAAGTTGCTTTGGCATCCATGAATACTATGTACATATATTATATCAGAACAATCGGACATAACCTTGTCCTGTTTCTTTGCTCTCAAAGTGTCAATTGTTTTCAAAGTGTCAACTTCTTTCAAAGTGTTGACTGCTGCTGGTGTATGGCTGAATATGTCCTCTGTGGAAAACACTTTCTCTATCTCCAGTCAGGAGCAGCGCTCCTCTGTCATGCTCAGAAGGCATGCATCATCCTCAGAGAATCATTGCAAAGACTTGGCTCCATGGCCCTGCATTCTCTTGCTGTGCCCATGCTGAGTTTGCTTGGCTGCCTGATGGGAATCCATGTGAACAGCTGACTGCACACTCTCATTGCATTCATGTGTGCAGCTTGTCAAAGCACCTTCAAACAGCCAAGAAAGGAACTGCAGGCGTTCATCAAGTTGTAGAGATAGGAAATGGGAACAAAGAGTGGTAAAGGAATCTTCCCTGGCAGGCAACACAGAAGCAATCTGAGGCTGTTTCACATTCTGTTCTTCTGATCCCTCCACTCCTTGCTTGAGACTCTCTGACTGTTCGCCAGGTGAGCCTTCATCCACACTGCTAGGACAAGGTGCATCAGTCCCAGCACTGGGATGGGGAAGGTATAATTGTGGATGGGCCTGGATGTGGGAATCTTTATCTAATTGGGCATTATCATCCCAGCTGTCAACCCCCTCCAGAGAACCTTGATGGTAGTTGAGCAGGTCGAAGAACATAGACAGAGGGGATTTGGGATATGGACAGTTTGCATTTGAGATTGCAGGGCTGTTGCCTCACCAGAAAGATGGGAGAAGCTCACTGGCCTCCCAGGGCCTGTCATCGGCAAGGATGGCCGGGTCAATGGGAATGTTGTTGTCATTCTGGAGAACCAGGAGTGTGAGGAATTCCTCCAGGCTGCCATTAGAGCTAGTTGTAGTTGCATCAGGTGAGGATGGACGAGGCCCTGCAGAGCCGGCTCATCTGGAGGAGCAGCGGGATCCTGGGTGTTGCAGGCGGCAATTCAAGGTGAACTTGGGGTAAGATGTGCCGGGTCATGTAGATATGAGGGTCCATGTTCAGGGCTCTCTGAAGATGGCATGCAGGGTGGTGGTATTGATATCTCTTGTGCTCAAGTTTGTGATGCTGATGGTGTACATTGCTCAGTGTTGGTGCTGAATGGCACACAAAATTCAGCTGGTGGTCTTGCAGGGAGGTGATGCTTGGGGGCTGGCAGAGTGCTGCAGGGAGAATCATGACAGGGTTTAGAGGGAGGGGAACAGCAGGCCACTGAAGAGTGTGAAGGAAGGAATCTATGAGATGGGAGTGGTTTAGGGTAAAGGGGTGCCCATCATTTGAAGTTCGCGTGAAATGGAGGGTTGATCTGGGCAGGAGATGGCATATTTCATGAGGGTGGATTTTGGACGCGGAGGTGATCAGAAACCGGGAAGGAGGCCAGGAATGGGAATCAACGAGGAGAGTGCGCGGTACCGTGTTCCTTCTCCCTAGAGCTCCCGGTGGCTGGTTAGCGTTATACCGCACCTCTAGCTCCGTGGTACTAAGTTGACCTACTTCATGGCAACGAAAGCGGTGTCTGGATGCAGGGTGTCGAGAGATTTCTCGACAGGCATGACGCAATGCGACATATCAGGAATTGGCGCCAGCGACCTGACCGAGCTCCAAGTTAACGTGTCCGGGATGTGGCCCCAGGGCATCTTGGAGGAATGTGTTTCTGGGCATCAAAGCATTGAACCCAGTGCTTTGGGCTTAGTGACCGCCGTGTCCGCACGGATGCTCTTTATTGACTGAGGGCGTTTTCATTGACAGCGGCTGGGTGCTACAGGCCAGATCTGCAGTTCAATGGGTGAAAGTACAATTGATGAAACTGAATCTCCCCTAGAGTTGATAACATTGACATGGGCGATAAATGGCATAAGATTGAGCATTAAGGGAACTGGAATGAGTTGAATTGGTGGCACATTAGACTAAATCCCCAGGCACACCCTCTTGCGCCTGTGACCCGAAGGCGGCCGCCCTCACCGCTTGGAATGCTGGCCGCCATCCAAATCAGCAGGTGAGGGTCGGTTGGAATATCTCTTATGGAACTCATCAACCAGCTCCTCGCATCCTGGTATCAGATCACACCGAGGTTGCCAGCTAGGTGTATAGCCTCTCCAGTCCACAAGGTACTCCAGGCGCACCCTTCCCCTTCTGTCAACCACCATTCTTGAATTTATGATCCTGTCAACAGGCCATTCTGGAGCTGCCACTCTGTTTCTGTCAACCAGAACTGGTGGTGGTGGTGGCTCTTGTTGTTCTGGCAGTGAATCTGCATCACTGCTGCGCCTGCAATTATTCTTGTGCTCAGGCTTCTTGTCATTGGCAGGTCTTCCTGCTGACATTGGGGATATCTGTTGATCGGAGGCATGGCTATCAGGGATCAGGAGATCTGAGGTGCCTTGCATGGGTTTGCTTTGATGTATTGCAATTTCACATTCAGTTGTGCTGTCACCTAACCCTGGTGAGTTGCCTGGCTTGTTTTGGGTATCTGGGCTTCCTGGCACATTTGGTGGTGTCGCTGGATCACTGTTGTATGGGGAACACAACTCAGAAACACAAGGGCTTTGATAACTGGTTTCACAATCTTCTGCATTGAAAACTCTTAGTACCTGATCTGTAGCAGGACAGAAATGGGAACAAAATGGGAGCCAGTAACAAATCTCTGAGGCAGGGTTGTTGGTAATCAAGCAATTGAATGTTGAAACATTGATCAGCCAGGGAGTCATCACAAGTTAGATCGCCTGTCTTGACCACCTCAAGCGCCTGCAACCACTGATTGAAATCATTCAAGGGGGGGTCTGTTAACTCTGGGCATTGCTGATTCGCAGCAGCATGACAACCTGCTATTGGTGGATGTGGAGTGGGAAATGCTGGGGGGACTTGGTGGTTAGGTGAAGAGATGCTTGACAATTGGGACTGAGCTCCTGGTTTGAAGGGTTTGAAGGGTCTGAAGGGTCTGGGGGGTCTCAGGGGTTGCTGAGGCTCTGAATGTGGGTTGTAAAATACTATGTTATTCAGGTCAATAGCAGCAGCCATTGCATTGAAGGAGCTGCAGCATTAAAGATCTAGGAATTCTGTTGAAGTAATTGTTGTGGAGCATCTCCTGTAGCAGGGGAAAGCAGATGGATTATATGGACTCTCGAGAGTGAATGAAAAGAGTTGGGATGGAAAACACAACTGCCCCAGCATCCGCGCCATGGGACAGATCTCAGTGCCGCTCAGAAAAGCTGTGTTGTGGCGAACCACACTGTAAACCACCACCAGCAACCAGAAACCAACTAGCAGTGTAACCCATGAATGCAACAAAATCAGCAGCACAGGTTATTTTGTGAAATGGAAAGCAGAGAAGGCTGTGGCAAGAGTTTTTTGTCCCTCCACTCCCCTGGCCTGGTTCCAGCTCAGCTGAAGGACCGTGTAGCATCCATGCAGCAATGCAGAGCAGGGAGTCCGGATGGGCATGGATCCTCAATCCTCCAGTTTTCTTTCCTCCTGCTGGCTACCGGTGACCTCCAGGGTTTGGGTCACCACAATTGCCATGTCTCAGTCTTGCTAATCCCTTCAGCGACAACCCGGGTGCTCTCGGACACTAAGCACGCCGTGATTCCCAGGCACCGCACGATTTTGCACTCAGCACCATGTTTCCAAGCACCAGCAGTTGACCTGGTCCTCATCTGCTGCAGCATTCGTGCCCATCAGTGGCAAGTGGAGGCATGATGAACGTGCATTGCATCTGAGATGCCGCAATGCGGCCACATCATCTCTCAGCCGCTGGAGTGAGGGGACAGTGTCGCTCATCCAGTCGCTCCTGCCGTCCGGTGTGATCCCATGGCTGCCTGGACCCAACACTGCATCACCACCCTGGAGTCAGTTCTCGATTTCCTGCGGCAGACTCGGGACGGGGTAATTGATCATGTGCAGTGACAGGACAGAGCCCTGCCATCCCAACGAGCTAATCTGACCACCCGCATCATCCATGACACGAGCCAGCCAGCCAGCCAGCCAGCCAGGGATCCACGCGAACGAGAAAATCTGAGACAAGATAGTCACAACACGTCAGCCATTCGACCAAATGAACGCGCGTATCGCCGCAGTGTCTCTGGATCTGGAGTCCGGTGACATCACCTCCATGTTCTTTACCTTGCCCACAGAAAGGTGCGTTGCATGTTGGACAAGGCAGCCAGGCAGACGCGGTGTTTGCTGGCAAGGGTGGGGTCCCCAACACGGAGTGAGAATTGCAGGGAGGTAGGGAGGTGGAGGGCGGACTTCTCTGAGGAGCAGTATGTGGCACAGTCCTGGCAAGTGAGGATCACAGGCGTTGTTCCAGGGAGCAGTGGCAGGAAACAGCTGAGGCTATCGCGGAAGAGCCCAAAAGCAGGCTGAAGCAGTGAGTGAGTGAGTGAGCGCAAAGCAGAATGCTGGAAATGACGCGAAAAGGAAGACAGATTTAGAGTTGGCCAGAATGGGCGTGAAGAAGGGTAAAGCAGACTGAAGATTGGGGTGAATGAGGGTGACTTGAGAGTGACTTGAGGGTGCCAGGGGCCAAATCTGGGTGGGGAAGGGTGAGCAATGGGTGAGCAGCTAGGTGAGGTACCCGATGTACCTATGTACCGCAGAGAAAGCAAGGACGATGAAGTGGCGGGAGGGTGAGGGCCACTTATATAGGTGGCCGGTGGGGCTCCAGGCGGCGACAGGGCGCCAAACGGCAAACGGCACGGCCGTTTCCCGAAGCGGCGACACTCAAAGGTAAATAACAGATTTGAGAGATTTGGAAGCTTTGAATCTTTGTGGCTCTTGCTCACTGCTGGAGCTTGTTGCATGGGGGGGTGTTAGGTAATCCAACTAGCACCTCACTCACGTGACCCACATAGATTAGCCGAGATTCCCCTTTAGGTAGCTTAGCGGATGACAAGCATACAAGTCCTCCATCATATCTAATCAGATTCGGATAAATAATTTCCCGATCTTATCGAAGGGGCCTTAGCCTTGGGTGACAATTTCTCCGTGGTGGGCTGACCGGAACGGCACGGTCAAAGTGTTTCGATGTTCCTGCAACTATTAAATCATTAAGTATCCAATCTAGTCGTGTTTAGATTTGCGTGTACTCGACTCTTCTAGACCTGGGATGGAAGAACTCCAAGCCAAACACCGCAAGGAGCAGCGCGACCTGCAATCCCGCATCACCCAGAAGAAAAAATCCGCGACCAAAAAGACCCGCAAGGGTGTGAACGACGAGTGCGAACGATGGCAGCGGGAGCTCCTGGAGCGTCAACAGACCGAAATTGCGGAGCTAAACGGCGACTTGAATGCCCCAATAGAACACTTTGACAATCTGCATATCACGGACAACTACCAAGCGCCCGTAACAGCCAACGGCCCAACAGATGCAGACGCCAGTAATGCCCCACCTGTACAATCTACACCAACACCTTCCACCGCTGCTCCTCTCGATGGTCCATCCCAGCAGCCCACTAAAAAGCCCAACCGCCAAAAAGCCCGGCTTGCCCGCCGCGCCGCTGAACGTGAAGCCGAAGCCGAAGCCGCCGCCGCTGAAGCAGCCAATCAAACAGATCACCGAAGTAACGAAAAGCAGGCCATGCAAGCTGTATTTGACCGCCTGGGCCTCAAAGAACGAGATATCGCGCCCGACGGTCACTGCCTATACTCGGCCGTCGCGGTGCAATTGGCGGAAGTCGGTGTGGATTTAAGCCTCGATGAACGGACCCCGGCTGCCAAGTCCACTGGGGAGAAACAGGGATCGACCAGGAATGATGGGTATAAAACTGTAAGAGCCACAACGGGAAAGTTTGTACTGGCCAATGCGGATGATTTTGCACCTTTTATCGACGAACCCCTAGAGGAGTATGCGCGAAAGATCATGTTTACCGCGGAGTGGGGCGGGCAGTTGGAGTTGCAGGCGATGGCGAGGGCATACGGTGTGGAGATAAATGTGATTCAGGGAGATGGACGGAATGAGAAGTTTGAGCCGGGGGACGATAAAGGAGGGGAGAGAAAGAAGATCTGGTTGGCGTATTACCGCCATTCTTACGGGCTTGGAGAGCATTACAATGCCCTGTCACGGGTTGCTTGAGGGAACGAGGCTCACATAAAGGTTTGTACATTCGATTGGGATGCTATATGTACAGAAAGGGGGGAGATACGTGCCTTGCACAGACACGCGGATGCAAATGCGATGAACAACAATAACTTCCGTACGCTAGATGCCAGTATATGTGACGAAACGATTAATCCCGTCGACGCCAAATCGAGACCCAGTCCAGCACATTTCCCTTGTCATCCATACCAACCGTGTGGGTCCTCTTAGGCTGCCAGTGAGCGACGCGCTCAAGACCTTTGTCGCTAGGTTGTTGGAGTGGATTGCTCTTGACATGACCCTTGTCGTCATATGGGATATCCTCACCGGGATGGCTGAGATGTTCCATATACATGGCGGGTGTAGAGGCGAATGGAGGTCCCAAAGCGGCAGGGTCCTTTGTTGTTGGGAATTCGAGGCAGATGAGATTCCCGCGAGGTGATGGTGCTAGTAATTGACGGTGGCGGAGCGCCCACTGTGGTCGAAGAGCTGGGTTCAAAGCACAGAAAAACTGCATTGGTTGTCAGTCCGATGTTTCTCCTTAAGCTCAAGACGGACAGAATCAAAAGATAACAGCAACATCGCCAGAAGGATGCTTTATACTCACCGTATAATCATAGATCAAATCAAAAGCGCCATCTTCCACGCCGGCCTCCTTCACCCAATCATCCTTGAAAAAATCTCCTTCCAGGAACATGACCTTCCCACTGCCCACCTTTTCATCCCTAGGAGGGACCTTCCCACCCTCTCCATACTTCTCCATCTCCTTCAGACACACGTCCACCGCTGTCTTACTATACTCCAATCCATACGCATCATACCCAAACGATGCCAGGAGGAAGACGTCCACTCCCCTCCCACAACCGGGAACCAGCGCCTTCTTCCGGCGCAACGGCTCATCCTCGAAAACAGGGGCGCCGAAGAACCCGCGTTTTTCTACCAAGGCGTCTTCAAGGGCGGGATTGTGTGAACCCCGGTCCCAAGGAGTGCGGGATTCTTTCCAGAGATCGTCCCAGACTTCCCCCTGGTTACGGCCGTCGAGGTTCTTGAAGCGATCGCTCAGGTTAGGGGCGGAGCGGAGGATTTCGTTAGCCATTGTTTCGATTGTGAGTAAAGGAGGTAGGCGTCGTGGTGTAAAGGAAGCTGGTGGTAGCGATTGTGGTAGTGATGGTGGGGGCGGGGTATTGTTTGTAGTACTTTTTGAAGACGCAGATTGCGATGGCTTTATTATCTGATTGTTGTGATGACAAATCGGGGACTTTGAAGACGCCGATCTAGAAATGAAAGTTAAAAAGATTAGTTGATGTATGGGGCTGTGGATATGGGAAGCTGGCGAGAGCGGGTTGGACGGGTTGAAAGAGCAAATACCTTGTTGATATGCACACTCTATCCACGGTCGGCCTGCAATTGGCGACGGATGAAGGCAAAGTTGGACATGCTCGTCCTCGTATTGTCCCAAATCGCATTGAACCTACTGGGAGATCGGAGTCTGGATGGTGGTAATTGAAAAACGCAATTTTGCTAGATCTTGTGATCTTCCATCAGAGTTATGTGCACACTGGATTTGCAGGACTGTGATACATATTACAGCCCGCCATTTCAACAGGCGTCTTCCGGTCGCCTTGACCCGTCCCACCGCTGGTCTGCGGTGGGTGCTGGCGCGGTGCGTCGACGTCATCCGTCCCGGGCCTGCGATGGCCAGAAGCCCGAAGCCCGATCGCCTGCGCCGCGACTAGACAGGCCGAGACCGCACAAGCCGCTCGAGTGGCTGAATTGTTAGGTAATCCAACTAGCACCTCGCTCACGTGACCCACATAGATTAGCCGAGATTCCCCTTTAGGTAGCTTAGTGAATGACAAGCATACAAGTCCTCCATCAGGTTATAGCCCTTTGCGCTGAAGAGCAAGTGTATAAGGTTGATTTACAGCTCAATTGGATATTGAAGCTTACAATCAACACCCTGAACAGTTATCCTTGTGGATAACGAGGTTTTACAAGCACTAAAGAGGGCGTACATCAAAGTGGACGCCTCCTATACGTGCAAACCCCTGTAGCTTTCTGGCACCCAACCAGAGAGTGAGCGAAACACCTGCTAAACACACCTAGCAAGCAAATCGAGCACCTGGCAACACCAAAGCCATGGTGAACTGTACAGATGAACCAGAGCACCGAACCCCCGACCGGGAGGCTCTGATGAACCTCCCTACACCCCAAACTGAGCTTAGGTGGTTGAGTAGGCTCAGAGGTGACTGGCCAAATGACAAGCAGGAGCCTAGGGAGGAGAGTGAACTTCAAATGTTGTGCAGAATGATGCTGCAACAACAGGAGACAGTGCAACAGCTGGCACAGCAAATAAGCCTCTTGTCAGGCCAAGAAAGCACTGCAAACATGCCTGCAACAGTGCAGGAGAACCTGGAGCAAGAAGCTCAACAAGAAGAGGACTGAGAGATAGACTCTGAGGACAAACTAGAAGAATATGTTGGCAACCTTATAGACATGAATATGTGGACTGGCAGAGTGATCACCCAATTCATGAAGATCTTGAAAATGGTAAAGAAGCCTATGACCCTGGCTGGGGCCAGCAACTACCTAGCATGAAGCAAAGCCATCCTAAAGATAGCTTGTCAAGTGAATACCAAGAAGATTATCCTGGAAAGACAAGAGACCTCACCATGGCCAGAGAACTTGAAGATTTCACAATACTGGAATGTTCAGAATAAATAGCTACATGATCTAATTGACAGTACAATATCTGCACAAGCCAGAGAACACTTTAAGAAATTAGATAGTCTTAGTGCTTACAAACTCTGGAAAGCTGTAAGAACAGCCTTTCAAGAGAGATCTGAGATACAGTGGGAAAGCCTATTGACAGAGTTAGTGAGAATGACACCACAGTCTGCTGGCTCAGAAAGAAATTATATAGAGAGATTTCTAGCAATCTGTAGAGAATTTGAGAGATTAGAGTTCAAACAACTGAACTACACCCTACACAATATCTTGAAGATGAACATTATGTTCTGATGAAGAGAGTTCATACAGAACCAATTTGATATGGCATGCCAGAGTGAAATGAATCTACTGGAGAAGAATTTGGAAGGCCTATTGAAGAATATTCTTCACTGAATCCCCAAGAAAGACCAGAAGAAAGATAATAAATCTACAAGACCAAATACAAATGCAACAACAAGCTCAGATTCCCAAAAGTCTTACAAAAATATGAACTCTGAATCCAATCCAGAGAAGAGCTCACTGCAAAACTGGAACTGCTATACCTGTGGCAAACCTGGCCACTTAGCTAAATTCTGCAGATCTAACAAGAATACAAAGCCTAACAAGCCTAAGAAAGACTCTAAAGACAAAGACAAGAAAGCAACAACAGTTGCAATGAATAAGATTCATTCAGTTCATGAAGCAGTCTTTTCTATGAGAGAAGTCTGTGAATTCACAAACAGATGGATTCTTGACTCTGGAGCTGGATTCTATGTGACCTCACATACAGATCTAGTTCAAATGGACCCAAAGAGCCATGCAACACAACTGCTTATGGCAAACAGTTTGAAATCAGTCACCAGAGGATTCAGCACAGCCAGTATCCAAACTGACAATGGTGAATTGAGTATTGAGGGGGTTAGAATCATGCCTGACCTCCAGATTAATCTCATAAGCTTTGGAAAGCTTATACAAGACAGCTTTACAGTGGAACAGCTTTATATTGATGGAGAACACATCTTCCTACTAGAATTGGCAGATAAAATGCAGAGCTTTGAAGCTGTGCTTAATGAGGATGACATTCTAGTTCTATAAATGTCTAGAATATGCAACTTACTGGTATACATGTTTCCAGTACCTATGAAACTTCTAGAGCCCTGCTATGTAACAGCAACTCTAGAGAATAAAGATAGAGATGACACACTTTTGGCACTGAATCACCTGGCAAAGACACCAGAAATCAAGGAGAATATGATGGCCAATTGGCACAAATGCTGGAGGCATCTCAATGCCCATAATATAGCTATTTTAGCTAGAGATCTGAGAATGGCAATGCAAATAAAGAGAGTAAAGAAGCTAGAATTCTGTGAAATCTGTGCTAAAGCTAAGCAAGCTTGCAACCCATTTGAACCTAGAACATGCTCTATAAAGCCTGGAGCTAAAATTTTTATTAATATTACAGGTGGTGGCTGTACCCTATCTATAAACTTCAATCCTCCAAGCTATAGTGGAGCAAAGTATTTCCTACTTATAATGGACAATGCCACATGATACAGGTGAATCTACCTTCTGAAGAAGTGGGTAGAAGCTCCAGAAACCCTAAAGAACTGAATCAACATGATCAAAGTATCTACTGAATGAAAGATTGACACTATACTGTCCAATGGAGCTCCTGAATTGATGAGCTAACAACTGGCTGAATTCTACAGGAGCAAGAGTATACAACAGGAGATTATGTGCCCATATACATCTTAACAAGATGGAATGAGTGAATGAGGAATATGACTTCTTTGCAAGTGCACAAGAAGTGTACTTATAGACTCAGGACTACCCAATAAGTTATGGGGTGAAGCTCTTGCTACAGTCTTCATGATGGTGAATCTATTGCCTACCTCAGTGCCTCTATATGGATGCAAGAACATGAAGCTGTTGATACTCTTTGAAGCCTGGACAGGTCATCAACCCCATTACAGATGGGTTTATAGATGAGAATGTGATGCTTATGTGAAGATTTTAAATGAATCCTCAAAGCTCCAACCTAGGTTCAAGAAGGTCAAATTTGTAGAATATTGTGGCATGCACACCTACAGGCTTTGGGACCCAGAAATGAACAGTATAATGATCTTGTGAGATGTTATATTCAATGAGAAATTGGATCAAATCCCTATGAATTCACTAACTGAAGCTGAATATGTTGAACTTTTGGAGGAGTATGATTACATAGATCTATTGAACAGCTGGCAACACAAGCTACTAGCTTACCTTGTGAAGGAGAAGCCAGAAATCATGAAGAAGCTTGTGGACAGCAAATTAGAGGCTTTAGAGCCCACATACCTGAATGAAGAGCAAGAAATTCTCTTGAATGTGATGGAAGAAGAAGAGGTAAATGGAGCTGAGCTTTCAGTGCTCAGCATGTGTACAGACATACTAAAATCCATTACTGAAGCCAAATACTCTGAAGAGTGACTTTATTGAAAGGAGGCTCTAGATGTTAAAGTCTTCAAACTACAAGAGAAAGACACCTGAATTCTAGTTGAGAAGAAATCTGAAATACAGATTCTCTCTGGCAAATGAGTATTTAATAGGAAGCTCAACAACACAGATGGCACAGTATAATTCAAAGCCTGTTGGGTCATATACAGATTTGAACAGCAAGAAGGTGTTCACTACAAGATTTATGCAGCAGTTGTCAGTGAACCTATAATGAGAGCCTTCTTTGCTATCTCAACAGCCAAGAACTGGAAGGTCAGAGTCTTTGACTTTGTGACAGCCTTTCTAAATGGAACTCTTCCAGAGAATGAATGTGTATACATTCAACTACCCACTGGATTCAAGCACAGGCGGGGTAATCTAGTAGGGCTCTTATGCCAGAGACTCTATGAGTTGAAGCAAGCTGCTAGACTCTGGTATCAAGCAGCTACTGACTATCTGAAATCTCTAGGATTCCAGATCTCTCCATACAATACAGGCCTACTCTACCACAAGAGAAAGCAAATCTACCTAACCTTACATGTTAATGACTGCTGTATAATGGGACCCAATAAAGCTGAAACAGAATGGCTCATTGAGAAGCTTCAGGAACACTTTGAGATCAAGAAGATTATGGAACAGAGCTGTTATCTAGACATGTGAGTTCAAAAGCAGCCAAATGGAGATCTTTTTGTGAACCAGAAACAGTATATTGAGAATCTACTGACTGAATATAGAATGGAAGACTGCAAATCTTTCAAAATGCTAATGAAGAAAGAAATAAGCATTGAATTTGTGCCAGATCAGACTCTCAAAGATAGAGTTGATGAGCAGGCTATGCTTATGAATTACAGGAAAGGCCTGGGCTCTCTACAGTTTCTAGTTACATGTATGAGACTGGATATTGCATTTGCAGTCAATTATCTGGTGAGATTCAACAGCAGGCCCAATAGGAAGAGCTGGGCAGCATTCAAGCAGATTCTACACTACCTCAAGGGCACAAAATCAAAAGGAATAGTCTTCAAAAGGAATATGAATTCTGAAGGCTTGAAACCAGCAGCCAGTTTGGATTCTGACTGGGCTGGAGCTGACCCTGCATACAAATCCACCAGCAGCTATATTATTACCATGAATGGAGCTCCAATCTCATGGAGATCACAGTGCCAGATGTCTGTCTTAAAATCTATGATCAAAGCAGAGTATTTGGCAGCTAGTGAAGCTGCTTGTGAACTGGTTTGGATCAACAACCTGTTGATAGATGCTGGAATAATTAGTGAAGGCTCAGCAAGGCTAAGGAGCTCAAAATTAAGTGTTGACAACAAGAGAGCTGTTGACTTAGCCAAAGCTGAAGCTATAATGCAAAGAGCACACCATATTGAGATTTGGCACCATATGCTAAGAGACTGGGTGCAAAAGAATGAAATCTTGATCAAGCATGTTGGAAGTGATGCAAATAAAGCTGATGGGCTCATGAAGGCTCTTGCAATGGATCTCTACACTCAATTTGTGAGTGTGATAGGGGTGACAGGTTAATACAGGAAAATATGGAGGTTTATCAGTAAAGCCAGTGAAAATACTGTATTGTGGTGAACAGAGCTAAGCCTAAAGAAGGAATAAATCTGGATTTTGTAATTAATTTTTATCACAGATTTGAGAGATTTGGAAGCTTTGGATCTTTGTGGCTCTTGCTCACTGCTGGAGCTCGTTGCATGGGGGGGTGTTAGGTAATCCAACTAGCACCTCGCTCACGTGACCCACATAGATTAGCCGAGATTCCCCTTTAGGTAGCTTAGTGAATGACAAGCATACAAGTCCTCCATCATGAATTCTTCCTCTCGGGACAATGATAACCCGCCACCCTCAGCCGCGGTTCGGTGCCGGCTATTACCTAATTACTCGGTACGATGAGTCAGCATGTCGGCATTTCCCCAATTGCTCATTGGCCGGAGCACTCTGCGATCGGAAGTTCGGCACATCCTGTGGCTTGACCATCTAGTCCCGAGAAAGTACGAAGCAGAAAGGGGAATGCCCATCGCCATGCGGAATACTCATTCCCAGGCTGACCAGGCCAAAAAAAAATATTATATTTTCTAGTGTCGGTGCTGAGGATGAGATAATTCATATCAGATTGTGAACAAACATGTATATCATCCGAATGTATGTGCGGTACATACCAAAAGTGGCCCTGATCCTGCAACAAAGTTTTCCCCCGGCTCTCGGGAGTTCGCCGTTGGCTCTCAACATGCGCAGAATGCGAAATGGAATGGAATTGGTGCCGGGAGCTAGACCAGGAATAAATCCTCCCCCGCACGCTGGGGGTTTAGTGGCAACGCTGGTATTCCCGTCGGATCCTAACGACGGCTTGCGTTGCCAGCAGGTTATGAATCGAGAAATGTCGTCAGATTGGACCAATACAACTCCTCTGGTGTTGTGAATGTGTTTCATGGGATATCAATCTTCGCAACATCAATCTCTGAGCTATATTCTTTTGAGTCATTTGATAACTGCAAGTAGCGCTACAACCCTGCTTGACCATAGATATATCAGCTCGCAAACTAGATCCACCCCTTCAAAGGAACCGCCTTGGTTAATGTGGAGCCGAACAAGTTTAGTTCGTCAACCAGGGAATCCTAATAAATCTTGGCTATTTTCCGTTCTCCAGTTTTTGAAGAATTTTTGATATTTTTTAATCTGACTCAGTTCCCTGATATCCTTTAGGATTGTTCTGTTGGCCTTATCGGTTATCCTAGACTATCCGGAATGCTTGATACGATGCATCCCGGAAGCAAAAGAGAATTTCCTTAGTATCCGATTCAGAACTGCTCCTTGGACCTTTCTCAGGGGGAGAAAAAAAGAGGAGGAAAAAGCGGAATGATAATTGCTTCCTTGAATGCCTTTATATTCAAGTGCCGAAACATAGCCTACGAGATATACAGTCAGAACCTACGCCAGCACATAGTGGACGAAGTCTACATCAAATTCATTCCATTAAGCCAAGTGCATTATGTTTAGCAAGGTGGACAGGTTGATTCGAAACCGTTGCATATGAATAAGTACGCATCATGACCGACTCCGAAAAGACCACAGCCGTGGCCGTCAGCCAGTCTACCCTCGAGCTGGACGAAAAGCGGCCCGACCCTGGGCCTCATCCGGGAGAAGCAAAAAAGAAGTGTGCACCAGAGACTCAGTTGGAAGATGAAGGTGGGAGTAGCAGACCATCGTCCGTCCACACAAACCTTTCGGATCGAGAACCGGTGGAAAATTTGGAGCTCGGTCCTGTCACAACCGGGTCAAGCGTCTCCCCTCCTCCCGTTTCGATTCCGATGAGCAAGCGACGCGGATTGTTAGCCCAACTTGCATTAGTGCCAGAGGTTGAAGAACCAAAGCATTATCCCCGAAAAACTAAATGGTTCATTACCTTTGTCATTGGCGTTGCTGCCATGGCTGCGCCCATGGGAAGCGCAATCTTTTTCCGTTCGTGATCCTCTCTCGACGTTGTATCACTCGAGTGCTAACTTCGGTCTGAAATCCAGCCGCCCTCGGCCAGGTCGCCGAAACCTTCAACGCTAGTCCCACGATCACCAATTTGTCTGTCGCTCTATATATGCTTAGTATGGGAGTATTTCCACTCTGGTGGTCTTCATTTAGCGAGAAGCTAGGACGTCGAACAATATATCTAGTCTCCTTCGCATTATTTGTTCTATGGAGTGTTTTGTCCGCCATCGCCAGTTCCATCGGGATGCTCATCGTGATGCGGTTGCTGGGTGGCGGCGCTTCCGCATCAGTGCAGGCAGTCGGTGCAGGCACGATTGCGGATATATGGGAAGTAAAGGAAAGGGGACGAGCGATGGGTATATTTTACCTTGGCCCGTTGTGTGGGCCCCTCCTAGCTCCAATTATTGGCGGCGTTCTATCACAGGCATGGGACTGGCGAAGCACGCAATGGTTCCTGGCCATATATGGAGGAGTAGGCTTCCTTCTCCTGTTATTCGGACTTCCAGAGACCTTGCCTCGGCCCAAAAAACCATCTGCAGACTCCCAGGAATCTGTTCAACGCTCCCTAAGTCGGGTCTCCTCTCGCCAGGTAGTTGAGGCGACGGCTAAATGGCTGAAACTTGCGAGGATAGTTTTTATTGACCCTCTTGGAATTCTGCTTTACCTCCGGTTCCCCGCCGTCCTATTAACGGTGTATTATGGAAGCATTGCCTTTGGCTCCTTATACATCTTGAATATCAGTGTTCAGGACACATTCAGCAAGGCCCCATATAACTTTTCGATGTTGATTGTGGGTCTGCTTTATATCCCTAACTCGTTGGGATACATCGTTGCGAGTCTCACTGGCGGTCCATGGATGGACAGGATTATGCAGCGAGAGGCAAGACGTGCGAATAGGGTTGACGAAAATGGGAAGTTGATATATCGCCCGGAAGATCGCATGCGTGAAAACGCCTGGCTAGGGGCGATACTCTACCCGGTGGCTCTCATCGTATACGGATGGACTGCTGAAAAGGGGGTTTATTGGATTGTTCCAGTATGTATCCCCTGCTTTCGTGCTTGTATCTTGCACCTTTTCTCCGATGCTGATTTGTATCGACAGATCATATGCAACTTTTTCTTCGGTCTCGGCTCAATGATTATCTTCAGCATGTCCACGACCATGCTAACCGAGTTCATGCCCAAGAAATCCTCCTCTGGAGTCGCAGTGAACAATTTTGCGCGAAATACCTTCTCTTGCATCGGCGGTATTGTTACGGCGCCTATCATACATGGAATCGGGAATGGCTGGCTATTCACCATCATAGGACTGGTAGCATTGGCAAGCTGCTCGGTGATCTGGGCAATGAAGAAGTTCGGCCCTCAATGGCGAGTGTCCATGGACGCACGACTGGGGTAACTAGAGCGTTGCATTGTGTCTGTTCTTCGCCCTGCCGGCTTTCGTTTCGTGTCCATGGACATACATGCATACACTGCTAGATAGCACTTGCAACTGCAGCTCGGAAACCTTCGGAGTTTATTTGCGTTCCCTGGTTTCGCATTTATGGAGTTTGATTGTTTGTTGGATATGAGAAAATATTTCGTGCGTCACGATCAACGAGAACCCCATTTTCTTCCTTTCTTTTTTCTTTTTTTTTTTTGCTCGAATACCCCCGCTATGTCTAAATTTTCCCTTTCCCGCTATATCGTTCGTGGACAAAGAATACGGCGATAGACCAATATGAAGCCCGTGCTTTCAAAAGCCATAGTACTTGACGCACACAAAATCAAACCGTCGCCCTGCCAGCCCCGTGATGACCTGGACATACGTACTGGAGCACTACAGCCTAGGTCAGGTAAACTCTAAAAGTCGGATAATAAGGAAATCCAGAAGGATAGTGTGGTTTGCGCACCCGAAAGCCAGAGCCCAACTTGCAACTCCAGGTTTCCAGCCTAATAATAGAGACTGCGATCCTTCAAGCCCCTAAAATTCTCCCAGCCTAGACGTCGGTCAAGTCGAGGGTCAATCCTCTCTCATAGATCATAATGATTGTTACGGCTGTGAAAAGCTGGCTGTGATGGATGTATGAAGACGAAGAATGGAGTAACAGAGTGACTTTGACAGTGATCACTTGGCTAACCAGCTAGTTAACGAGTTAGTTAGTTACTTAAGTACCTAGTTAGGTTAGTTAGCTAAGCTTTCAATCGTGCGAGACAAACTCTTGCAGGTCACTGCAGTTTAATGTTCCATGATGATTCGAGTCCTCGTCGTGTCGATGGTAATCTAAATCAGAATTTCCCCGTGCTCAGAGGATTTTGGTCGAACGATATATCAGCCCCCCTACTTACCTTATTGTCTCCCGCATTGCTCTCTGCATTCTTCGTATCTCGATGCATACTATATAATAACCCAAGTCCAGGTCGAGCCTTGTCTGGATCGGATCTATATATTCACAAATCTTGCTCATGTTTCTCACTCTTCGACTTCTCGAGAAGCTCGAACAGGCAATCTAGACATAGTATTTCAAACAAAGGATAATGATGTAGTCACTACTTATAGTGATGTTGACATTTAAAAACATCCTATCCATCTGCTGGATTAGTTTCGTTTCCTACCCTTCGGTGCCATGCTGTTTTACTTGCGTCTTTCTCTCCCCCCACCCCCAGCAGCAACAAGAGCCAGACAGCTTCAGTTAAGGATACGGAATGAAATCACCGACCCACTCGGATGCGTGTGTGCTGCTGGCCCTCCTGGTGCTTGTCACATCACTGCTAGGCCTGGCCGTGGTTCCAGTAGCAACAGTAAAACTCTCACTGCTTGTGCAAAGAGAATGGGCTGACCGAGGACTTGTTTCAAGTGGATCAATAACTAGTTGGGGTCAAGTGCTATCACCCACGTCCGCTTCAGAAGCCTCGCCTACTGATAGGAAACAGGGCGTTCTAGCATCCCGACGTTACGTCCTCTTTATCGTCGATAGAAATCAACACCGATACTGTAGTGAATTTTGAACAGAATCCGAGGTTGGTGGGTTTGAGTCAGCCATTCTTCGTAGCTGCATCGCCATCTCTTGCCAAGACTAACAGTCAAATTGTTCCGCCCGAGGGTGAAATGTCTTTGGGCAACAAGGCTCGAGAGTTGGTCGCGGAGGATGTGGTAAACTCTTGTAGGGTCAGCTCCTATCTACCTCTCTCTGTCGCAAGCTAACAAGTCGGTGATATAAAAAAGCTTAGAATGCTGAAAATCGAAGACGTGTTCGGCGTGACAATTGCCAAGGACGGGTAGGAGGCGTATGAGGTCGTCAAAGACAATATAGAGAAGGGCAAGAAAACCTCATATTGATGGATATCCAGGCAGCTTCTCGTCTTACCCTGGCCACGCCTTTCAACTGAGTTTAAGTTTTGTATAGATGCCAATCCTGGATGGCATACAATCGACGCGATTGATCAGATAAATGGGATACTCCGCGCCCATTGTCGCTCTGGGTACATTCGAAGAGCAGTGCAATATCAAAGTCTGCGTGGAATCTGGGATGTATACGTTCCTCAGGAAGGAAATACTTAGGCTTTGTAGTAGCATGTGCATGGCCTTTTTGCTAACCTAAACCTCTCAGTAAACTACTTCGAAGACGTGCTTTGAAGCAAGGCTTGAACAACTTCTCAACGATCTACGACGAGCCTGAGGCGCGTTTGACATAAGATTCTTGACTGGCATGGCATGCGTTCCCCTGCATTTCTCGTACTCACTGACAGTGCAGCGCAAGGGGTAAATAAAAGAAGGCGAAAGAGAAAAAGACTTCTTTGCCACCCATAAGGCGTGGTATGTGGATAGGTGGGGAACTCATCACTGGTGTCAAACGAATTTAATACACCCATTTGATAGCACATAAATTGCACATCCAACCGGCCTTCTTTTGAACCAGCCTTGTGGAGAATAGTGATTCACTAGAGGCAAAAGGATCCGGCTATTCAGATGAAGCAGCGAGACTTACTTGCCCCATATAATCTAGGAATCTAGAATTGCTGCGACGTAAACGTCAAATCAAGGCTGGGTAAGCTGTTTTTCAATTTGGCCGCCTAGAGATCCACATCGAGGTGGAAGCTCCTCTGCGTTTCCTTCCAAGTTCCGGCTCTCGGCAGCATCGTGATGAATCGATAGCCATTAGATTGGGTTCTTAAGCAATGCAGAGTGGTTGTACGGGGATTTGTTCGGATGAAAGGGCCGTCCGGAAGCGGTTGCCCTTTCCAGACTTGGGTGTATGCACGTACCTAAAAGTACAGTGCGGTGGTCGTGACCTGGCGGCCAGTATATTGACATTCACATGGATGAAGGAAGTGCTGTGGGTTGCGTCAGGACCTCGCAATGCCTGGCGGGGTTTTGCGGAACCTGAGGCCTGTAATGGACGGTGGTGCAGCGACTCCAAATGCCCGATGGTACCCGACTTTGGTACCGTGGACCGATGTGCGTGAATTACGCAATTATCGAGAGGGCGTTCGAAAGCAGTTGGCTCCAGGTCACCAGGCGACAAGATTTGTTTTCCTGAATCGAATGCTAAAATTAACACATATTAACGGGGGCTGAGCTGGTTGACGGTGAGGTTCCAAGAGCGTTCTCCTGGCGCTTTTCGGCCCAGAGACAAGGGACAGTATTTCGTAGCCTGAAGCTGGTCGAATTGACTATTGTGTTCTCAGGATGCTGACAGCATGGCATTGAATTGCCACAGCATGTCGACGTTGAGAGCGAATGGAGAGAGTGGGATGCTCGATGGCGTCCACCTAAGCAGGACAGCAAGGCCACCACATCGGGAAGAGAGGGAGGAGAGGATGACGAGTTCGGGGGGTCTGACCCATCATTCGCATCCCCGAACTCATTTGTTTTTCTTTTTCTTTCCTTTTTTTATCCTTTCGTTTCGTTGCTCGAGTGATTGGGGTCAGGATGTGCGAGGCATGGGATGACTCTGACGAGGGGAGTGAACTCCATGCCATGCCCATCAAAGCGTACGCACAAGCACACACGCTCGCTCTCAGAGTGTCTTTCAGGCATGCAGGCGTCCACGTGTGAGGCATCCAATGGCGGCTCCGACGCGAGCATTCCGGCCAACCAGCGCTGGAGCTCAGAGGGCGCTAGTCTCGATTCGGCCCGGCCCGCACCAACCACCGACAAAGACGACAAAACAAGACGACGTCAAGACGACCTCAGACGACACTTCTCCCCTGCCGCTCCACCCATCGCCCCATCTGCCATTGCGCATCTCTCTCCCTTCCTCTCGCTCTGCCATCGCCATCCCGGCTAGACGGGTCTCCTCTGGGTCTCAGACTACGTCGTTGGGCATGCAGGTATTATTTCTCTCACGCACATTCAACCTGGTGCGAAAATGCCGTCGACGTCGAGGTGGCCAGGGGCCGTGGTCGACCCTCGATCCCCCACTCAAGGATCGGGATTGATGGCTCTCTCTGTCATTGCAGCGAAACCTGCATCCCACCGAACACAAGGAGCCAATCGTGACATTTGCTTGGTTCACAAGCTTCTGCAGTGTCGCCGCCCTGTTTTCTGACAGGAACCAATTGCCGACGATGCTGTTCGGTAGAGTTGGGCAGGAAAGACATGGCCTGTTAATCCTCCTCTCCCGGTTACCACGCCACTCCACACAAGGAAGGGAAGAAAAGAAAAAGAAAGAAAGGAAAATTGACCTCCACCAAAATCTTATTGACTCCTCTCGCCTTAGTTAGAGAGACTAAATTAATTCCGAGGCTTCTGATTCGAGATCAGCGCCCTGTTCCAACCTCATTTCTTTGTTATTCTTCTTTCCTTTCCTCCCCGACCCTCACGGGTCTCGGAGATGCATCTCATCCACCGGATATGCGGATCCTGGGTGGGGATGCAACTGCATCATTTCCATTTCAGTATTCAGTACCTTTTATTTTTGTCAGCTTCGCCTGCACGCGTGGGATCCTGCGTTGCTAAAGCTGCTTGGCATGGGACCGCTTCACGTTGTGCGCTCAGGGCTCGTAGATTGACCGTGGACCGCCCATGAAATCGTGAGACGTGGCCCAATGACAGAACATTGGCCGTCCGCTGGTTCAATGGTCGCCAGGAGGCCCCTCCTGCGGTCCTTCATGCCTTCCTCGTTGGAAAGTTAGTACCTTCGTCGTTGGGATGGCAGATATCGCTCCATCTGCTTTGAGTCATCGAGGCCAGACATCTTTGTTGTGTTTCTGATTCCTCTGGACAGCACGCCCGACAAGTTGTTTTCTCAATCCGCTTCTTTTCCTGTCAAACTCTCAAGAATCTGCTTTCAGTCGCCCTGTGTCACTGCCTGCGGCATATACAGGCCCTGTGGTGCCGAGACTTGCCACAAATCTCAACAAATAATTTCCCGCGTCTTGCCATCCCTTCCCTCCATACTCCTTCTTCCCTGCATCCCCATTCGTCCCAAAGAAGATGGGAAATAAAAAGTCGAAGAAGAAGAACAAAAGAATACAATTGAATGACATCCAGGCCAGTAACAAAAACAATACCAACGAGGAGCCTCAGGTAGAAGGCCTTGCAGCTCAGCCTGCGCCTGTCGAAAATGGCCATAAGAAAGAACTTCGAGTATGCTGAACTTTCTGGATTTAAGTATCAAACCTTCGATCGTGAAACCCTTAAATTCACAGATGTCCCCGTGACTTCTCTTTACGTGAAGAGCAACGCGACTGCCGACGATGAAAAAGAAAACGCTGACACTGAGTCGAAGGACATGGCGTCGGAAGACCCTCCAGCAGAACCCCCGAAGGAGCAAGAATCCACACCCATGGAAGTCCCTGACAATCCAACCGGTACGTATATGATTCCTCAGCTTAGCTTCCTTTAATCTCTCCGCCGGCGTTCCCATTACACCATATTACAAAGTACATGCTAACGTTTACAACTCTAGAGCCGGAATCCACGGATATACCACAGGACGATACCCCATCGGCTGAACCTGTTGCCGATTCCCCCATGGGGGATGAAATAGGCGTAGAGGAGAGCACGAAAGACGCTATGGGCCAATCGACCGAAGAATCGGCGGAGAAACCGGAAGAAACGAGCGGAAATGACAATGAACATGAGCAGAAAGATCAAGGAGAATCGCCAGAGGATGAAGGCGACCATCCCGCGGCTACATGCGAAGAGCCTGCAGAGCCGTCACAAGGAGCTGATCCTGTCGAACCCAACGCCGATGCTCAAGCGGAAGATACGGATGCTCCAAAACAGGAGACTGAAGGAGGAGAAAATGAAGGTAAAGGTATCCCCATCATATTTTAGGGGGCTCATAACTAACGGTTCTAGACGAGTCGAAGTTCCCAGATGTTGATCCCGCGGCAGAAATCGACCAAGTTGAGGCGGAGAAGGAGGCAGAGAAAGCTGAAGCGAACCTTGATGACTTTGGTTATGACGGAACATTTGCAACTCTAGACGGAGGTGGTGACCAGGAAGGGGACCATACACCAGTTGAAACTGAGAATACCTCTCCATCGGAAGACACTAATGGTGGCACAAAGCAAGAGACAGAAACGGAGGCGACGGAAGATTCCCCTCTTGAAGTGAGTGCCGGAGAAGCCGACGCTACGGAGGGTAGCGTGCCGAAGGATCCTGAATGCGCAGAAAAAGAAGAAGCGGAACCAGAGCCAACGGAACCAGCGGTGTCCGTGGATTCCACCGAAGAAATCCAAGGTGATGATGAGGCGAAATGCCTAGGTGAAAGTGGATTACCTGAAGAACTTAGTGAAATTAAGGGCGAGCCTGATGCTGGCGCACAGGCTTCGGAAGCAGAGCAGAAGAGTGATGGAGCGGCTGAAGGTGCTGTATCGGAACCCTCAACCGCCGAAGCCCCCAGGACCGACGAAAATGCCCCTTCAGGCGCGAATACCTGCGCTGAGGAGATACCCGACCAAGTTGAAGGCGAAGGGGAGAGCCCTGCAGAAAACGAGACTGAGGCTAAGGAAGTTATTGGAGATGAGAGCGAAGCGTTACCTGCAGAAGGAGAAGAAAACCCTCCGACCACTGAGCCTGAAGAGGCCGCGCCAACTGGCGAAACCGATGCGGCACCCGATACAGGGGCACCAGGTGATTTAATTCCCGACGAAGAAGCGCCAATGAACACTCAAGAAGACACGCCAAGTGAGAGCAAGGTGGAAGAGGCAGCTGCGCAGGAAAATGCTGTTGAAGAGTCACCTCATGACTCCGAAATGACCCAGGCAGAAAATGCCGAAAAAGCACCCCCCACTGAAGCAGAGGAAGCGGCCGGTGAAGGCTTGGACCCAACAGAAACCCCACCAGAAGAGGACCAACGGGAAAAGACTGTACCCGAACCGGCTGCGGAAATTGCTGAGACAAGGGCCGATGAAACGCCAACTGAGGATACGCCGGCAGAAGCTGCTCCCTCCGAAGAACCCGTGGCAGAAGAACCTCCTGAGAAGCCTGAGGATGAAGGGGCAGAGAAAAATGACTCTCCTGCTGAGGAGCCACCCGCTGCCCTAGAACCTACCGAACAAACAGCAGAGGAAACACACGAGGAGGAATCACCGGCCGACCAGGAACCAGCCGAGAGGAACCTTGGCGAGGAAGCTCTAGCTGAAAGTCCACCGGCGGCCCATGAACAACAGACTGGTGTGGACGAGGCCCCAGCCGAAGAAAAAGCGGTCGAAGAGCCAGCAGCTGTAGAATCCCCGGCGGTTGAAGAACCTGGTACCAATAACGCCGATCCCGCCGAGGCTCCTATTCCTGATGACCCAGCAGAAGGACCCTTGGAGCGGTCGCTAGAAGAACCAATTGCTGACCCAGATCCAACGCCAAGGGGTTTATTTGGGCAGGAAGCAATAGATGAAAGCAGGCGTAGACGACGCAGACGACGATCAGAATGGGAACATGAACGACACGACTCAAAGGGCTCTATGGACATCCAACCTGGTCTTCGACGTCGGAAAAGCGAAAGAGCGCCTTTCGCAGATCCCATGGCAGATGCAGCAGCGCGCGCTAGATCTCGGGGACATGCCAGAGCAATTGTTGAGGAAGACCAGGACGAAAAACGAAGAAGGAGGCGTACCCAAGAAGCAGAACGCTCTGCACCAAGACACCGCGAATCTCGCCATGACACGACCTCACGAAGCCGGGGCAGTTCGAGCCACAATAGCATCTCTTCTCTGACGGCAAAGCCGGTTGCCCTCCTCAGACGAATGGCCACCGGAGAATCAGATACTTCGGGCCCCATGCTGAGAGTAAATGTAGACAGCTCGAGTTCGTCAAGGTCAGGGAGCCATTCAGACTCATCAAATCGCTCCCGGTCCCATGGCCATAGCCAAGGAAAGCAGCGACAACACCACCGCGAAAAGAGTTCCGGCTTCGAAGAGGAAAGGCGCCGACGAAAGGATTCCATGGCGGAGCCATCTCGTGCTCGTCGCGATCACAGGGAACCCAGGGAGCACCGAGAACAGAATCACCGGTCGAGAAAAGAAATTGAGCGTCAGCCACGGCCCTCAAGAAGGGATAGTCATGCTTACTATGACGAACGGGAGCGGCGACGAGAGCGACGTTCTTCTAGGCGGTACGAAGAAGAGCCTTCCCGAGGTTTCAGACTTCGAGATAAGATTAGAGAGAACTTGAAAGCTGTGATTGCGGCGGCATAAAACGGGTTAACAATACATGAAAACCATCAGATGCAACTTTTTGGCTTCTTTTCCCCTTCAAAGGGGATGAGATCTTTCAACTCTGGATTTAGCGTGATTTAGTGCTTTTTTTGTTCTTTTTGTCCTTGTTTTCATATTTAGCATCAAGCATTTGTTGGAGAATGTTTTATTTGGGCATTTCTATGGTTCGAGACACTTGTATGATCACAAAAGGGTGTTTCCATTCTTGAGGGATGCTTGCCAGTCCAGTCTTGTATTTACAAATGTCTTTTGCATCAAATTGTTCTTTCAAATGTCCTTCTGTTCTCCAGTCAGTTTTCACGAAGTTTATGCTGATGATGTGATGGTGTGCACGAAATGAAATCTGCAAGCTTATTTGGCATCCTGTGGTTGGTGATGTTGATGTGACACTCCGCTTCTGTTGTTTGTTGTTGCCCGACAATGATGGGGAACAGATTGGAGGGATACATCAGATCCTATTGCTGGAATTTGGTAGTCTGAATTTGAATATATTTTTGATAAAGTCCTATGCTGTCCTTGTGACGAAGACCAGAACAGTATATTGGCCTTGAAGCTCAGGAGCGGCCCAGCTGTTGAACCGCTTACCTAAACTATGGATCACCGGCTGGGTCATGTGATGCGGACGCGTGCGGCTCTGCTGTCGGATTATAATTACACCGACAGCCGCGCCTCGAGAATGCTTCGTGATTTAGATCAGCCAATCGGAATGGAGATTATATAAGCACGGGAGCCAATTCTGCCATGGGGCGCCGCCTTTATCTTCGCCCAGCTGATCGCGACACAGCTGAAGGCATGCTCAACTTCAGGCAACATTTCACCATTTTTCTTTCCCCTGTCGTGCTATTTCTTGCTTCCAGCTGTGTTTGCAGAATGATAGTTATCTGACCTGCCCGTTTGGACAGCTTTCTCGGCGAACTTGTCACATCCTGAGTCCACCGCCTATTGCGCTCCGCTTTTTGGCGTATCTGTCATCTCCGGGATGGGCCGGATACTTTTCTCAATAGCTTAGACCGCGAATTTTGTCGTCGTTACAACCCGCGCTTTACTAGTTATCTAGCTGTGTCCGGCCTGTCACTATGGCTGGAATGGAAGAGATTGAGATCCATAGCAAAGTACGCACGCACAATGCGCCCTCTTCCCCCTTTTTCCATTGTCCGAATCCCTCAGACTGATGGGCTTTTCACGTCTCGCCTACACAGTCATATCTTGTTCGGTGGATCAATGTCAGCGGAGAGCACACCATCTCCTGGAGCATCCAGCCTCATAAGAAGTCACTCAACTTCGGCATATTCAAGCATCCCGGTACCACGGGGACGCTGACTGCGACCTCTGCCTCCATCCACTCCAGTAGCGATTTTGGTGACGGAAGGGAGAATGGCAGGCCGGGGAATGCCTCGTCATCAGTGGTTACGGAGAAGCTAAAGGGCATAGGCCTCAAGCCCATCAGATGGGTGGGGAAATGCGAGGCGGATAAGATTTCCCAGGGGACGTACGATGTTGGGTCCGGCGAAGGTGGAAATTATGCCTTGGTGTTTGATAATACCTTTTCGAAGCAGATCTCGAAAACCGCCACGTTTGTTCTATTGACGTACCCTACCCATTGTCCCCCCCGATCCGGACACCAGATCCACCACTCGCAGGCGGGGCTGGGCTACGCTGCAGTAACCAGTGCGCTTACACGCTCGAATCCAAACATCGCCAGTGGAGCGTCGGATTCGACTGAGTCGCTCCGGAATTCTCGCGGATTGGCAAATAGTCAATCAAAAACCGGGTCGCGCGGTTCCGATTCTCCTTTTCCTTTCCATGCGCAATTGCACACGGGCATCCTCCAGAAACGGCGCAGAAAAAGACATCAAGGATTTGCCCGGAGATTTTTTTCACTCGATTTCAATACATCTACTTTATCTTACTACCATGATCGTAATTCATCCGCGTTGCGCGGCGCAATACCTCTCACCCTCGCTGCTATTGCTACTAATAGTGATACAAGGGAAATATCTATAGATTCCGGCGCGGAGATCTGGCATCTCCGCGCCCTTAACGAGCAAGATTTTAATTTGTGGAAACGTGCGTTAGAAAAGGCCTCGAAGATCTCCGAGGATGTGGTACAGCCAGAGCCAAAGGGAAAAGTTCGCACGCATTCAATACCGACGCGCAGACAGAGCATGATTACGCAGGACACAAAGAGCTGGACGGAAGTTGGGTGGTTGGCCGAGAAGGTTGCAATGGCCAGGGATACCGTTCGACAGCTTGCAAAGGATACGGATCCCAAATATTTACCTTATTCCTCTGACCGTCCCCATGTCAACACCCGCCAGATGCCTCAGCAAACAGATGGTACAAATGAGATGGCAGATCGGGAAAAACGTTCGTTTTGGAAGCTGAAATATCGGAATGACAACCAATCAGCCCAACGAGCAGTTTCGCATGGTGAACCTTTTGGCAGTGACAAACCACCTATGGAAATGCCAAATAGGGGGCGCGACCCTGTACATGACAGGTTGATGGCACTTCTCCAGGAACTCGATTCTGTTGTCTCGGACTTTTCGAGTCTCTTGGAGAAGAAGCGCCCTCGGCCTTCAAGACCTCCTTCAATTCGGACTCGTCCGAGTATAGAATCTGACGTTTCCGAAGAATTCTTTGATGCAAATGATGGGCACTGCTCCCCGTTACTCACTATGCATCGTGATAGCGAGGACGAAGACGAGAAGAGCGTTGCCGCAGAAACTGCGGTTGGTGATGAATCTTCACTGTCAGGAAGCGATATCGAAGAACGAGACGATTTCCTCAAATTTAGGCACGACAACTCCTCGTCCCTATTTCCTACAAAACCGAAGTCCTTAATCCCGCTGCCTGTGGAGAATGTTGTTCGACGGAAAACCGTTTTAGCCCCGACCGTCATGCCTCCCAGTTTGATCGGGTTTCTGCGCAAAAATGTTGGCAAAGATCTATCAACGATATCCATGCCCGTCTCTGCAAACGAACCGATTTCGCTTCTGCAACGTGCCGCAGAACAGTTTGAGTATTCGCGGTTGCTGGACAAAGCTGCTAGTGCTACGGATGCTTTGGAAAGATTAATTTACGTGACTGCATTTGCGATTTCGCCTTTTTCGAATATGCGAGTTAAAGAGAGAAGTATTCGCAAGCCATTCAATCCCATGTTGGGGGAGACGTATGAGTTAGTCCGCGGTGACCTGGGATTCCGATTTATTGCGGAGAAAGTTTCCCACAGACCCGTCCAACTAGCGTATCAAGCGGATTCAAAGGACTGGAGTTATGCACAGTCGCCCAAACCGACACAAAAGTTCTGGGGAAAGTCTGCAGAGATCATAACAGAAGGTAAAGTGCGATTGACGTTGCACTCCAGCGGAGAGCATTTTAGCTGGTCTCCGGGAACCTCATTTCTGAGAAATATCATTGCCGGTGAGAAGTACGTTGAGCCAGTCGGTGAGATGTGCATCGTCAACGAAACAACGGGCCAAAAGACCGTTGTCACGTTCAAAGCCGGCGGCATGTTCTCTGGACGCAGCGAAGAAGTCACCGTTAAAGCATTCGATACACACGGCGATGAGCTCCCCCTTGGTTTACAGGGTAGCTGGACCACATCTCTCCAGCTCACCGAACATGGTCGCGAAACCAACCATACCATCTGGGCCGCTGGTTCTCTCGTTGATAAAGCGCCGAAGCACTATGGATTTACGGTATTCGCTGCGAGTTTGAATGAGATTACCGCCGTTGAGAAGGCCAAATTGCCGCCGACGGATAGTCGACTCAGACCGGATCAGAGAGCGTTAGAGAATGGGGATGTTGACCAGGCAGAGAATCTGAAGGCATTGTTAGAAGAAAAGCAAAGGCACAGGAGGAAGGAAATGGAGGCTGTTGGGGAGGTGTGGAGATCGAGATGGTTTACCAAAGTTGGGGGGACTGTTGATGGAGCAAATGGAACCGGTACGGGAGACGATGACGACGATGGTGTGATGTGGAAGCTGAACACCGGAAAAGATGGTTACTGGGAAGAGCGAGCAAGGGGACAGTGGCCTGGTACTGTGCCTGTGTTCAAGCTATGATCCTGACGGCGCCATACGCTTGTCTTTAGGCTGGTTTAGATTTTTCGTTGCTAGACCCATCGTTGTATATCTTCAGCGTTTTGTTTTTCATTTTTAATTTTTCAACTTTTTTTTGGCGATATAGACTTATGACTTGACGATTTTATGCGTCTGGTAGATCTTCCTGATCTGACCCAGGAAAAAAACCATTGCACTTCTTTCCCCAGTCGCATCGTGGAATACAAATCACTGCTGTAGTACAGCTTCCAAGACTCTCTTCGCCCTCTCCCCGCCTAGATAGTCCCTCCCCTCTCTCTTAATCCGGTGTATCTCGTCCTCATCCTCATCCTCAATCCCCGCCTCCAATTCTAATTCTAAACTCGTCGCGTACGCCTTCATTACCGTATCTTCATCGACCTTGATCCCACCCTGCACCAAAACCCTTATACACCCCGCCAACCTCGCAATCTCCCTCCTCGTCGCGAGAGAGATCTCATCATTTTGACTCGAATACATTGTGCCCGAAACCATATCTTCCAGCCGTGTGATCGACATTCCCATCCCACTATCCTCCGCTGCAACATCGGCGCGTTTCGAGATCCATATATATCCATTGACACCCAGAATAACTTCGATATCCGACCCGCCATTAGCGCCAGGAACGGTCCATACCTGCCGCCGACTGCGCACCACGCCCGTACCACGCGCAACACCCGCACCACCCATGCCTGCCACAGCAAGGAATATACCATTCCGTAGCTTTCCGTATTTCAAGGACCGGGTATGCAGTGACGCAGAACCATCCTGGTGTACGCTCTGCACTTCTGCAACGACGAGATCGCCCTCGTTGAAAAAGGATCGGATCTGTAGTTCATCTGCCGTGGTGCGTTTGCGAAGAATACCGCCAGGCAGGTTGATCGCGGAGAGGGGCAGGTTGGCTAGGAGAGGTGCGGCAACGTCGACTTTCCATCGGCGGGATTGGACTTCGACGATGCGACCGACTACGAGGTCACCGATTTCTGGGTTGTAGCGGGCGCGGAGGGGGTAAACGGAGAGGAGCTTGTTGGTTTTGAGGACGGTTCCCGCGACGGTGGCGATGATGGTGCTTGAGAGAGAGGATTGAGCTGTCGAGGAGAAGCCGGGTGGTGCTGGTGTGAATGTGCCGTGGCCTCTGTTGAGTGTAGTTGGTCAGTTATGATGAATACCTTGAAGCTTCGGCAGAACGGGGGAATATAGCGACGAACCTCATCCACTGCGGGTCGTCTGTGACTACTTCTCCTGGAGTGACGATTGTGTTTTTGGAAAGGCGGGGTCGCTTAGACGGACGGGACGTAGCGTCATCCATTTCAATATCAGAGTCAGCATTGTGGAAATCATCGTTTTCTTCGGAAGAGGCGTATGGTTCGTCGTCGACGACCGGAGGAAGGATTGTGATAGCCATTGAGGGATGTGGAGTGGTGGATCAGATGCGCTCAAGGGAATATTATATGTACATATCAAAATTGCGGATTTGGGCGTCAAAAGAGAGCAGGATATGCTCATCTGTGTTGGGAAACGGTTTATCGGGATTAATTTCCATGTGTTGAGAGATCTCAGAAGATTAAATTTGGATGAGGAACGGAACTGCCCCATAATGGCACCTATGGCACTGGCCGGGTGCTAAGCCAGAACTAACCCACAGATTGGACTCTACACAAACGTCCGACATTTTGTACTGCAATGCATGGATGGGGCCGTAGCACACTGTATTATAATCTCTATTTAAGGTAAAATAAGATATATAGCCTGAAGGGATATATCGGTTCACCAAACACCACAAAAGGGCAAAAATACGTGGGATCCATACTTCACGGCTCCAAAACAATGTCTGTCCCGACACACCTGTTGCAGACAAAAAGATTTGTTGGGTCAATACGCTTCTTGATAGCTAACAACCGAGCATATTTCTCTCCCCAGAATACATTTTGCCAATCTGGCTCATACCTATGTCATTGATAACATTGATTGTCAGCTGGCTGAGCAAGCACAAAGAAATTTATCAGAGGAAAGAAGGCTTACGGGTTGGCTTCGTTGACATATGTTCCACCCCCTGGGCCAACTATGTCGCCGAGTTTCTTACTGATCTCTACCAGACTGAGCTTTGCGTTTCGCTTCTCGTTCGCTGACGCATCATCTCTCCAATTTGCCGCGAAACTTAGAAGCGCCCTGCTTTGCTCCCAGATAGGATGCGTAGATGTCTCGTCTCTTTTAGCGGAACTTACTTTACCGACTAGAGAAAGCGATAGGATTAGCATCACTCGCTAAACGGTGAAGTCCATATACGGTTTTCCTGTGTCTGTGGAATTCAAGTATGATACTAACTAAAGTTGAACCCAGGGCCAAATGATGCATATTCAAACATCAAATCCACTAGATCCCGAGTGCGGTGCAACAATGCTTGCGAAGTAAGCAGTCTTGACCCGTCGATAATATTTGTGGCGATGTTTGGGTCCTGCACGAATACTTCAGCGTATTCGATCCAGCTTGGGAAGTCTATGTTGGCAAGAGCACCGGAAACTCCTTGCATCTTGGCAATGTCGTAATATGGCTTAAAAGTCCGGGTGAAGGTGGCATTGGTTCCATTGGGCTGAATGAAAATTGCTCCAAATCCAAGGGGCTCTTTGCCGCCCGATAGGAAGTTCATAGAGCCATAGCCAGTGTAGCCTGCATCCGTAATACTTGGAAGCTCTTGCAGACACTTTTCAATGACGGCCCGTAGTGTTGAATTGTTAGTGACGTTGAATTGGACTAAACCCACTTGGATGTGGGATGGACTCGGATGAGTTTTATATGTGACTGAGGTGATCACCTATACTCACCTCCAATATAAGCAGCGGACCCTTTTGAGGGGCGACAGCAATACTTACACCCCAAGCGCTCCCGCCTCCACCGCGTAGTGCGTAGAAATATTCCGGATCAGTATATTGGTTGATGGTCCGTGGTGTCCCGTTTGCATCAACAAGGTTGACTTCCAGTAAATCTGCGGACATATCAGTCTCTCGTGAAATATAAATTTGTCCGAGAAGCACTCAAGAAGGGTGTGCCTTACTATCCACGGCTAACCCATAAAAATGGGAAAAGGGGCTATGACCCCCACCGGTAAGGTATCCTCCAGCTGCGCCTACAGTTCGAGCTGAGCCTCCGACGACAATCACACCATTTTCAGCAGCTGCTCTGTATACATCTAATCAAAGGTCAGAATGAAGCGGTGTTTAACATGCAGATTCTAGCCTTACCCAGCCATTGTTCTCCTGCCTGGAGTGTCACAGCAGGAATACCAGTAGTTTCCTGAGGAGCTCCTTTGGGAATGAAGGAGGTATGCCACTCTCTCCCCTTCATATTGTGTGTCCAAAGCGAAAATGCGCCTTGACCGCTTGAACGACCGAGGCTAACAAATGTAAGCTTCCAATGCTATCGTGCCAAGGCAAGGTTCCCTACTGGTCATGTCCGGTGTTCTTCACCGTCAGGTATAGTTCCTTTTGTGCTGCAAATTTAACAGCAGTTTGGATATCGCTCGTACTTTGTATATTCACAGAGTAATGTGGAACTATACGGCGGATATGAGTATATGCTCCCAACTAACGCAAGCAAGATATGTCTCACCGATGCCTTGATCACAGGGAGCATCCCGTGGGGAATCAATGAAACATTGTCCGTTTTCACCCAGCTCCCATAAAATTGCCGAATAAGCTCCTGTCTGGTTTGTTCGCCAGAAGCTATCTAGCCAGTTCTCTTTCGCAGCGGTGCATTTGGCGTCATCATAGCGCTCCGCATGGCAAACTGCTGCTGAAGGATATGTCCGAATCAGATGGCCAGAAACGGAAGCATTGAACGATTGCCATTCACCCTCGGTGGGCCAGCATGAGTCGCCGTATGAACATCGTTGCCGATGGCCAACAACAGCGGACGCTAAAAAAAGGGGCAAGGTAAGATATAAAGCCCGGGAGAAAATACCCTTCATGGTAGCATTAACCGCACTCGGCGTTACAAACTAGGTATGTCAACAAAGTGTGATGTATTTGAAAGACAATAAGTCATGCTCAGTTACTTCTGCTTGGGAAGCCATCTCTTTTATAACCTATCGTGACTCGGGATTGACAAAGACTCGTTGAAGGAGCAGAGGGCACACTTTCAGGCTGTGTAGAACATTTGCAACACGATGAATTTCCGGTTTTTGAACAGCATGATGTCGGATGCAAGTTGTTTCAAGATTGATAGTGAATATCAATCTTAGTCAAAGGCAGTGAATACGAATAATTGACGAGTTTGGTAATCTTGGATCGCTTAGCTAGATCCATTATCGTCAAGGGTTGCGGAGATCACTCCGCCTTCCTCTCGTTGAGTGGAGTGCATGGGGTGACCAGCCAACAAAACATATTTTGGCTTGGAGAGAAATACGAGTGAGCCTTGGAACTTTGACGCAAGTTGCGCAGCACTCAGTCCCATCGCCGATGGAGACGGACTCAGGCCGCTTTTACAATACCCATAGCCGTGTTTACCACCAAACTGTGGACTTTGTTTTCATAACTCCATGGAGATTTTAATCCAGATTCTTTTGTGTTCGAAAAATCCAAGCATGGCTAGTGAAGATGGGTTTGAATAAAGCTGAGGGATCTAGTGCTGTTTCTCTTCGCAATTTTCTGCGTGACAAGCACTTAACTACTTACACCAGTCCAGAACAATATCACCATGGCCAAAGGCTAACCCTCTCGTCAGGAACGAAATGGTTGAAGCTGCAGTTAAAGACCAGGGTGAGAATAAAGATCGACTGGTTACATCTTGCCCATCCTGATGTCAATTCAAAGACTCTTGCTGCAGCCTCCTAGCTTTATAGCTATTTAACTATTTTCATCCCTCAAATGGCAAATCAACTAACCGCTGTGTCCCACACTCAAACAAAATCATTCCCGCCGTCGCAATTTATTTTCGCCACGGCTCTTCGAAATCCACGAAGACTAGTTACGCATCAGCCGATATACTTCGCATACTTCCCAAATTCTGCGCCCACCTTAAGCGCCTCTAGATCTTCGTCCCTCAAAGAAATTGCAACCGCAATCTCTCCATCTCGCGCCCTCGGCATAAAATATATCAAACTCTCGACCGGAACGAATCCCGGCCTTCGCACCACCTCAGGCTTCCCCAGTCCAAGGTTAAAATCAAGCTCATAACAGTCTAGCTCGGCCCAGGAGCTTAACATAATGTCAGTTGATGCGTCGATTGACGCTGTAAAAGAGATGGTGCTCTTATCCGGTGTACGGTCAAATAGTGTTGCAAGAGCACGGGTTTGATAGGCTAGTCGTTTTGGGTCTAATGCCGAACGAAGCTGTGATGCTATAATGCCCAGCGGCTCGTCCACCAGTTCCTGAAACGTGTATGTATTGTACGTCATATTCTGCAAGAGGCCGGGATATGTCTTTGGAATGTTGAGATATCCTCGTACATCAACGGCGCGGGCCAAAGTTGACTTAGATGACGGATTCAGGCGGTGAAGGCGGGCTCGCGTAATCGACTGCCAGATAAAGGCGCTAAGAGTGTCGTCAGTCGAGACGTATCCTGAGGACTGGGGAATAGTGTTTGTAGCTAGTGTTTTCAGAGTGGCCAGCGAGGCGGCGTCGAAAGTGAAGTACACCCAAGTGCACTTTGGAGGCGGAGGTGGGACTCCGTGACTAGGAGATGGTGTAGGTTTCACTATCTGGTGAGGGAACTCAGGCCCTAGAATGTAAGAATCATCAAGCAAGGGGATGAGGTTGTCCCCAGGAAGGTTACCAGATGACAGTTCTGCATCTGTGAATTGCTCATTGTGGCAGGCTTTTGAGAAGAGGTGGATGACATGTCCCTGGCCAGTCATGTCCATCGTACTGTGCTGACCAACAAATGTGAGAATGAGGCCACCAGTGATGAAGCTGGCCTGAAGGAGAAATACAGGATCTATGTTGAACTCAAGCTCGTCGGGGCTTCCTGGGAGGGTCCTGCGAGGCGCAACGATGCTTTCATCTAGCATGCTGAAAGGGAACCCGGCCCGCTTAAGGAAGTCCATCGACGGTATCGAAGGGTCATTTCGAAGATCTTTTAGCACCAGACGTGAGGTTTTACCAAACAGTTTTATTTTGAAGGTCCCTGGATTGCATTCACTCAACCCTTCATGGACAACCTGACCTGCAAGCCACGGGAAGCACGCGCACAACCGCTCAAGGCCATTTATCAGGGTATCAACAATCGCTGAATGGGAAAAATGATCCGGCACTGGGAACAAGACGCTTATCTGGGTGTATATCTTAAGTAATGGCTGCTGTGCGAGTATATTCAGAGGGATCCCATCTACGCCCCCGTCATTCAATGGTCCGTGCATGCTGGAAGTTGAACGCACGGGGCTGTGGTTCCAGGACATCAAGTCAAAAAGATATGAGCTATTCACTCCCGGGGAAGCTTGAATGGGAAGTCCAAACCACTCTAGGTGTAAATGCAAAATGGCGCACCTTTGACAAACACTGTGGTTTAACTGGTAACTAGCTGAGCGAAGAGATTGACTCGCGGATAACCCGTTACCTTGGCTTGGTTAACTAACTAGTTATCTAAGCCTTGAGGCGGCACAACAAACTACAGGCCACAGCCCAGGTCCCCGTTCTTTGTACTGTAGATGGATCATCCCAGGGTGATAGGTCCCAATGGGACCTGTCGGTAATTCGGCAAAACCCTATCCGAGATCCCACCCCTCAAAATCCTTCGTGTTCAATTCAACCTCCTTTTGAATGCTACACATGTTCCTACACCTGCGCCTTGATTCCACCAACAGGACCTACCACATTCTTGGAGACTGTCTGTGACAGACATTTTGAAAAGAGGTTAGTATGACGCCGCCCTGCGCAGGCTACCTGAGGCAAAGCATTCCAGGCCACATAATTCACGTCAAATGCCACTACTTTGAGGCAAAAGCCACAACTTTCCAGGCTTCCTAGGGCAAACCACCTGTTTCATACCAAAAGCCACGACTTTAGGGACTCCCCAGGGCAAACCTATATCATACCACAAGCCATGACTTTCCAGGCTCCAGTGAATTCCGCAAGGCAACAGACACCCCAGGGCGGACCACTTTTTTGCAGTGAGAGCCACACTTGGAATGATTTTCCAGGGCAAGCACCTATTTCACACAAAAGCCACGAAGTTCCAGACTCCCCAGGGCAAACCACCTATTTCACACATGAGCCACGACTTTCTAAGCTCCCCAGGGCATACAATCCTACTGAGGCGGACCATAAAATTTCTGGTTGAAAGCCACACTTCTACTGATTCCACAGGGCAGAGGATGCACTGAGGCAAGCCACATGTTTCCATGGGTAGTGCTTTTCCCCAGGGCATTTTTTGCCGCAGAAATCTGAATGAACTGAGGCAGGCCATGATTTCAGAATGAAAGACTGAATTTCCTCAGAGCATTTTTGAGTCTTGAGGCATGAACATGATCAGGGTGCTTTTTTGGACTGTGGCAAGTCTTTGCCCCAGGGATAACCACCTTCCTTCACTTAATGGCCATAAATTTTGCTATTCCCCCAGGGCAAATCTTTGCCTCAGGGAGAGCCACCTTTCTTTACTCACAGCAATAAATTTTGCTATTCCCCCAGGGCGACCTGTTGCCCCAGGGGCGCCATGTTTCTTCACCAAAAACTGGGCTTTTCAATATTCCCTGAGGCAGCCACATTTGCTCCCTTGAAGCGATACATTTCAATATTCTGAACCCTGAATATCTCAGAACTTGTTATGGACTGAAGAGGCTGAAATCTCAGAATGACTACATCACTATGGGAAAAGTAGCTGACCGCTCATACGACACTGTGTTTCCATATGATAAGAGCTCGCAGTCAGGCCAGCCAAAGAAGCCACAGGTTAGAAACAAATCTACATTACAAAGTGGAGTTCTGAGCCTTCCTTGCTGCCAACTATTCTTTTCCACATTGATCCTACCTAGTCATCCTGAGCCTGATACCGTGTTCCGAGATCGCTTGCGGCAATAACTCACTGAAGAAGCATGAAATGTGGCCTAGGGCATGTTGAGTGCGCTGAGCTGCCCGGCAAATTGCTCGTGAACTCGAAGAACTTGCGCAGGACATGCTCAGAACTCGTTCTGAAGAGGCTGAGGTCTCAGAACGACTGCATTAATATGGGAAAAATAGTTGATCACAGGACAATGTTTTTTCATACACTAGGAGCTCGTATGATCCATAAAGCATTCACTGTTTCTCCTCCAACACTGTATTACATCACCTATCAAGGTGTTCAAGATCACCCTGAAGCTCCCTCAACTCAGGCCTATATCTTTTAATGAATGCGATAGCACAGGAAAAGCTAACATAGGTGCCTCGCACAATATGCTTCTCTCCATGTTTCTGGCCGCCAGGCATGACATAAAATGTCTCCTTTTTTCTCTTCAAATAGGATCTCATCACATCCCTTGAGAACTGAAGAGCCCAACATATCCTGGTAAGATTGATTGCCCTGGGAGGGTTCTTGTTAACATCATGGTTAACCCACATTTCGAGCTGAATTGCCCTGAGTCCTTGATTCTCAGCTGTGTGTATGTTACAAGTGGCAGAACACTCCCCGCATATTCTTCTTGTGGGCGGCCGACAGGTGGATGATGGAAGACAAGCCTCTCCTCCAGCTCCTGATATGCCTTCAGTCACTGTGAACCCACTGGGGAGCTGGGACTGATTCCAAAAGCTATCAAATGGGCGACATTCTCCACGATCAACCATCATACGGCCCGTCGCCTGGAATTTAAACGGGCCTTTCTTCGTCTTGAAATGCGCAAGTCCGTTGTATTCACTTGATCACCTCGAAATTAGCTTACACCCTTCTCACATGTAGATAGATAGATGATGCTCTCGTTCTTTCTCTCTTATTCCCCACCCAGCCCACGAAACAGACAGACCGACAGATTTTTGGCTACGACGGATAATAGAAACTCGCATGCAATGTACAACAGACAAGAAACAGGCGCCCACATAATAATTTACGCAAATTCACTCCTATCTTCCGCCTAATATTCTCAATTTCCACTTCGCCTAGCCCAATCTTCCATGGCTTGTGCATATCCTGGAAGATCCTCACCGCGGATAACACAACGGGCCCGCCTCTGAGGTATAATCCGTTCATATCTGTCGCGATAAATGTTCATGTCCATGGCATAGTTTTCATCGACACGACGTGCATATTCTTCCGCCTTGAAGCGAATGCCGCCTGGAGGCTGCTGCCCGCCCTGCAGGAATCCGATGTAGGCGTGCACCTGAGCTTCTGAGAGTTGGAAGATCATGTACCCGCCCACTGGGTGGATAAAGATATCCTTGCACTAAGATTGGCAAAAGATCAAAAGTTAGTGAATATTAATTCGGTTGAGAAGCAAAAGGAGTCTGTATGGGAAGTATGGGACTCTTACTTCATGCCCTATCTCCCCACAATCAAACAAAACAACCCCCCCGAACAGACGATATTCCGCCCAGTAACCAACAATATCAGCAATTCCGTTAGGATATTGCTGCCAGAAATCATAAGAATGATGGAAAAGTTCCGCTGGCAGAGCTTTAAGGGGTGGTGGGGGTGGCATGTTGGGCCAAAGCAGTTCATCGGGCCATACTATGGGGTCGGGGGGCTCTGGTTTATGAAAGCCTCCATCGTAAGCCTGATACAAGTGAACAGCAATGCTGTGACAGAGGACAGCAAGGATCTCAATAAGATGTAAGTGGAATTCTCTTGAGCCAGGGGTAGCATTTTGGAATGCTTGCGCAATCTGCTGACATTTTAGCATTCATTCTCCAAAATAGAAAGCTTGAGGCTCTGAATGTACTATACCTTTGCACTGATTTGAAGACTACCAAGATCCAGATTTCGACGGCACAACTCGACTGCCTCCAGAGCTGCATCACTTGGATGAATATTGTTGTGGAAGCTTTTGCGAAACTCGTAGACATAGTCTTGATAGACATCACGCGTGGGACGGCCATCAACAACTTGGGCAAATGTCTCCGTGGCCAGGTCCGTGGAGAGGATTGTCCACAAGGCCTGTTGCAAAACCTCAAAGTGCCGTGGGGACAAATTCTCCAGCCCAACCGTTGCCAGGCTTTGTGTCGACATCGGACACTCAGGCATGGTCTTGAATTCCAAACGTCAGCAGTAAGTGGACAATGTCTTCAAGAAGTCGTCTTTTTCAAACCGTGAATTCATGGAAGGAGGGGAAATCTTTGATGCCCTTGTAGGCTGCGCTTAGCTAGCTGAGGTCCGAGATCTCATCTGAATATCATCATCTTTGACTGGCATAACACCACCACATGATATTTTTTTGCGTAGTCCAGCCTTATGCCTGAACTTCTCAAGTTCTCAATATGTGCCAGAAAATATCATCCATTACAACTGCATTACATGATGCCCACACCTCTCTATAGCAGCATGTTAGAATACCAATTAACAATGTTAATATGGATGAAGTGAGGTATCCTAGGAAAACATTAGACAGTCGAGCCAATTTTCAACCGCTGTTCCTGTTCACATTGTGTTGATTGTGACATCACAGTTCTTTATTTACCTCGAGTCAAGTGTTGGCCTGCTCTACAGAGCTAACTCATTGTCATTGACTACATAGTGGAATTATGTTGTAAAGATGAAAGATTGGTCATTGAACTCGAAGAACAAACCCTACCACACTCACCTCTTCCTCCTCACAGTCGGTTGAAGCCATCTTCTTCAGGTCTATCGATTTTCGGAAGCCGGACTTGATACCCAGTAACCTCTTGAATGTGTTTTGCCACCTCTCTGAATGGGGTGATATAGCCTGCATCAAGACGATGCGATATACCGGTCTCCCTGACACCCCAGAGTAAGCCAATAAGATCATCGGCGTCGTTGAGCACAAAGGATCCGGAATCACCCCTTGCACAAAAAGGATGGGTAGACGCTGCGACAACAGCCCACTCCGCCAGCGTGACCTCGAGCTGAGTGTTTCGAAAAGTCAGATAGCTCTCGACTCCATTTAGATATCCTACTGTATAATCTGAACTCCGGCCAATCTTTACTACCCGGCTGCCTGAATCGAAGCCCGGCGCGACTGACTGAACGAATCCTTCTCGACACTAAGGAAGTTGTTAGTTTTATGGCGGTATTATTGCATCTGCTCATGTTCACCAACCCTGTTGACACCTATTCGGCCTGGATTCAAGTCAATAAGGGCCCAATCTAGAAGACAGCCACTCTCAGACACTTGATATCCGGATGCGGCAAAGAGATTACCGATGTTTCTATCGGCGTCTTTAGCCGATGCGAGCTTCTGGCGGTATACGGCGGCCATCCGCCGAGTATAACTCAGTGCCTCGATTGCTCTCAAGTTTCCGCTATCAACTCGGACTTTTTTTTCCTGCTCACGTTCAAAGTCTTCATACAGCTTGATTCCCCTTTCGTAGACCTCAATCATGGCGTTATGGTCACCAAAACTTGGGTGGCCAATTGGAATCGGGCTATCTTCAATCATGGTGAAGGGACCAGCTTGGTGTCAGCCGTGACACACCTGCGGGAGCTACAAAAGGAACTCACTGAAGTCATCATCTGAGGAAACATCTTCCTCATAGGCCATACCAATATGGCCGCAAGTAAGTGCGCAAATCCTGTCTGGTGCGCCAGCTTTGAAAAGCTCAACATATCCACCTAGAGTTCCAGTTACCTCAGACGAAGCGATGCTACCGATCGACGCTCCCATTGAAGGTTGCAATTCATATCCTGTTTTTGGAGGCAGTTCGCGATAATGGTACCCGGGGCATATGCGGCCTTCGATAAGTTCGACAAAGAGCCCGCCTAGGATTTCACTTTAGTAACCTGAGGTAACAATCCTGCCAACATGAAAATATTTACCAGAGAGCATATGAATATCCTCCAGCAGCTTTTTTTTATCGAATGAACTAGATGGAAGCTTTTCCAATGTGATCACGACTGTGGTGTCATCAAAATTCTTCCTTTTCTGTTGTAGCTGCCGGCGCTGAAAACACTCCACTCCCGCCCATTTCAACCTCGCATTATCCAGCTTCGCGATGATTTCCCTCGCCACCTCCCGCCAGCGAGCCACAATCGGATGGTCACGGTTAACAGGAAAAGTAAGGACCGGGGCAAGGCCCTCGCCCCGCTGAACGAAGTGACCCATTAACGGAAGTTCAGATATGAGAATCCCGTGGGGATCCCTTGGGTATACGATTCTACCGCACTGATCGTCTGACAGGTCCATATTGAAAGATTTGGCCTGTAGATTGTGTTATTGACGTGTGAGGAGAGGAGGGTTTAACAAGGCCCCAAAGGGTCTATGAGTTTTATACTTAGCATGCTTAATGCAGTCAATCCTGGAGAGATGAAAAGTGATAATAATTGGATATCCTTGGAATTGCGAAACAGTGACCTCAAAAGCCCAACTTTTCGCCCGAAGGGAAATTTTACCGTTTTTGATACGCCGCCTAGGATAGTAAGGTCATGATGAGCAAAATTTCCGCTTGCGGGATAGACAGACCGTAATATGTTCGAATAGCCAAAAGGATATGCTTTGTTCGACCTCTTGGATAAATTCATTGAGGACATGGTCAAAGACGCACTCAGCGTCTTTTGGCCACTGGACCCAGGCTCGAATATGGAAGGAATAGTTCTTGCTTGAGCCTTTTCATATTCTAGCACCTTTTCAAGATAATGCTTGCATTCGAAAGTGATTCTGAAGCTTTTTTCGAAGGTGGGCTTTTAACACGAGCAAGCAACCCTTATTGGAACACCAGCTCATGCTGAAACCTCTTTGTCCACTCTTTCATCATATGGATAAGTCACTTGTTCTGATGCTCCCACAATGCCGCGGTGATAAAAGTTGTGTTTAATGTTTCATCTGCAAAGACTTGTCTGCGTAAATCTTCATTAGATAATATCATCACCCCATTGAACTTGCACCTAGCTCTTTTAGCTTCTTGGTTCTTCTTCAGAACGAGATGTCTCCATTGTGCTGCCATATTCCAGTGAATTCCCAGCCTATAGATGTCAGGGCTGTTGTCAGGATCAAAGCTGTGGCACTTCTGACACAAGTAATGAAAGGTGACGGAATATGGTAGGTAGTTGTCAGCATCACTGCGCCTAGAGATGAGCTGATGCTAAACGTTTATATAGACATTATACCCCTTTTTCGATGCATTCTAGGTTGTGTGGGAAAGAGCATAAATGTCAATCTTAGAACTTATGTTCCAACGTGCGGAGACATCTCGCGCTTCCTATATGATGGCTGTGAGTAGAGCGATTGCAAGTGGGCTGATAAAAGAAACCTCGAAACCTCGATACCCACTGAAGCAATATACTCACCGGTTTCTTCCAGGCAGAAAACTTTTTTGTACTTCTCGCACATCATCATTGGCCAATGTATACGCAAGTCCTAACCATACATAACTGATGAGACGGGTATTTTGACAGTTCCACGCCAAAAAAAAATAAAAATAAAAATAAAAATAAAAAAAAGAAAAAGAAAGAGAAAGAGAAAGAAAAGAAAAAGAAAAAGAAAGAGAAAGAAAAATTCTCTAGCTTACCAAAATCTGCAAGATATAAATTCGGTTATCTCTCGTTGGCATCATCTGATGGAGGCGACCCAATGAAAACTATGAGAACCAAGTGATCAGAACCAGTCCACATATCATTTCTTAGGACGAAGTTGATTAACCCACTGTTACTTGGCTTGTCATCCTTATAGACGATCTCCTCCCATCCAGGTTTCAAGTATGACTTTGCATGACCATTTGTGCAGTGTAACACTGTCGTCACCATGCAGTGGAAAAAGTCACCACAAGAAAGATTCTGGGACCAAGACACTGCTGGAAGGAAAGGCAAAACTGTCAGCGAGTCCTCCTGTATTTCGATCTCGGAAAAAGCATATATATATCAATGCACCTGGTAGAGACTACCTCTTGGATAACAGTCGTAAAGAATGCGAAAATGATATTCTTCCACCGATTATCACGTAGGCCTATAAGACCAGATGTACTAGGGAGTGAAATCGCACCATCTCACCAAATGGATGCCAGGCACGGAGATATACGCTACCCTGCGCACCGTGACTGATGACACTGATGCTCTTCCAGTGATTCCCCTCGGTGACTTTGACGAGTGGCTTAATCCCCGGCAGGCTTCGTAGATATTTCAACTACTTTAGGAATCCATCCGGGTATTCGTAGTAGTCGACATCGATTTCACGATCAGCAGCTGACAGGTTTCTCATAAAACATCTTGCCGCATCCGGGCTAGGAATCACATCGTCTTTTCTAGGAGTAAGGAAGACGCCGCAGAACCTGTAGATGAACGCTCTGGAAATATCATTCATAGACAACACCGGGGAGTGCATTCATGATTGGAGCGCATCTAATAAGATACCTCACGGGCAAATGTGGATCCTAGGAGAAAATTTGAAATCTTGGACAGTAGGTCTGCCCAGTCGCGTTCCCAGACTCATAGGAGGAATTATTAGAAGGTGCGAGGCGGGTCGAGAATTGTGGATATGAGAACTCTTTGATGTATCTGCATGAGTAAATTCATAAACATAGAATGGAGATATGGAAGCGAATCGTCACCTATACTTGAAAATCCCAGCAGAATGAGCAAAACAGATCAGTCTTGGGAAAGTACAGTCGAGTTAGACACGAAAGGGGAAGTAACCCACTATCAAAGAATAACGATGATGGAAGACAATGGATCGGTATAATGAAAACGCCGTATATATTATGGATACAGGAGATGGAAAAAGCACGATTATACTGAACGGAGACTTAGAAGGGAAACGAAACCCAAGTGAAATCCATGGAATCAGGCGACGACACTCTCGAAGGACGGCTACTCAGCTCGCTGATGCAACGGCTGGTCTTTTCCTCTTGGTGCCATCTTCTTTCTTCTTCCTCGAGCGGCCGCTGCCGCCTTTTGGACGGTATCCTCCATCTTCATCTCTCTTTCTCTTGGTACGATTGCTACCTTTTGAGACCTCGGGTTCCAAGTCAAGCATGAAGCTATCGTCCTCGAATATTTTCTCTTCTTTCGGTGCTTGAGCTGCGGCCCGTTTGGATGTGCGGGTGGCCGCTGCTTTTGAAGGCGCTGATGGCTTCTCCGAAGCGCCAATCGATTCCGTATCCTGGAATGCATTTGGATCGTTTTTGCGGAGCCAGTTATACATGGATGTGGGATTCCGCATGATGATTTCTCTTTCTCTCTCAGCGGTCAATGGTCTGTCCCCAGTTCGGGTAAAGCCCAAACCCGAGTCGAGCTTATTCGTATATTCCATATCATGCTCCGGGGACAGGAAACCAAGAGTAGAATCGAGGTCTCCATCCACGGTTGAATGAATGCCGTTGGATGGCATAGTATGCGGCGTTTTTATCAACTCCGAGTAATGCAGAGCTGGGGCGAAATTATCACTTCGCGCGATGGATTCCTCCAAACGTCGACAAGCGACGGCCGACATTTTGCCTTCTAGTAATTTTACTCTTGCTTCCCGGAGCTTTTGACGAGCAGTGGCGGCATCAAAGCTGGGTGTTGGTGGAGTCCCGGGTTCCGGGGGGCAAGCTTCGGAGAACAGCTCTCCTGGAATGGAGAGGCTGTATCGGAGATGTCGAGGGATGCGTATACTCGAATTAAGTTCCAAAAGGAGCTCAAGTAGTTGGCTAGAAAAACGAACACTATTAACAATGCCAGTTTACTGCAGGGAATAGGCTCGAGCATACTCATTTTGCTCCTTGAGTCTCCTTGAAAGGTCGATAATCCTTAACTCCTCTTTGACAAGCGAGTTTCCTTCCTTCATTGCTTGTTCAAATTTGATCTTTAGCTTCGCAAACTTCCTCCTAAATAAAGATAATCAGCATCAATCACCCGGTGGTCAACGCGCGGTTGGCCTAACTTGAAAGACTTGTAGGCGCGGTGGCCCTCAGCTAAGCTCCCGTTCATGGACTGCGATTCAGTAGTATCCCCGTGAGAAGCCATCGGGACAAGTCGGGCGGATTACCAAGAAGAGATATGATAGTTAATGATGGGATTGTATTTTAACTTGATAGGAGCACGAGTTTTCAAGGAGTGAAGCAGCGCGTTTGTTTGAACTGGACTTGGGGGATCGTCTTTTGAGGTTTGCATCCAAAGGGACGAAAAAGCCGCGCTCTAGCCAATCTTGTGACAACCAAGCCCGCACAAGCTCCAAAGCTAAAATTTGCTGTTCCGCGCTTCTTTTGATCACTTTTCTTCTCTGAGTCGGCACGGCCTGCTCCTGTTGAAATAGTCTACATTTACTCCGTGGATTACTTATAATTGACAATGGGAGACAGACCTGATTCTTCTCCAAATGCCAGCCGCAAGCGGAAACTCGACCCAGATATCGAAATAGACCTCGCTGCTCCGGAACCTCCCTCCAAGAAAGCACTCCGAAAGGCTAAGAAAAAGTCAACGGCGAAAGTCGACGATGCACAAGCAATAACGTCCAAATCGGAAACCCAACCCCCCCCTCAAGAACCAACGAACAAGCGAAGTGGGTTTGGAATCTGGATCGGAAACCTTCCCTTTTCCGTGGCCCAAGATGATCTACGCAATTTCTTGACTACAAAGGGGCCATTTACTCCGGACGAGATTACGCGAATACATCTTCCTCAAGGCGAGAAAAGAAATGGGAAACAGCTAAATAAAGGTTTTGCTTATATTGATTTCTCGACTAGCGGTGCGGTGCAACGGGCGATTGCGCTGAGCGAGCAGCTTCTTGCCGGACGGGCAGTTCTCATAAAAGACGCGAATAATTTCGCAGGGCGCCCAGACAAGCCACGCGACGATGGAGGAACTTCCATGGGCTCTAAAACTTCAGCCAATCCGCCCTCCAAGAAGATATTCGTTGGAAATCTAGCGTTTGACATCACAAAGGAGATGCTCGAGGAACACTATAGACCTTGTGGTGGTATCAGCCATGTCCACATAGCCACCTTTGAAGACTCCGGGAAATGCAAGGGGTATGGTTGGGTCGAGTTTGAAGAGCTCGAATCTGCAGCGGCTGCTGTGCGAGGATTTGTTAAAGTCCCACCAGATGAGGAGGCGAATGCCATGAACTCATCAGAGTCCGATGAAAACTCAAGGTATCCCAAGGATAAGAAGAAGCCAAGAGAAAAGAAGGTGTGGGTGAATCGTTTACTTGGGCGTACTTTGCGAATGGAGTTCGCTGAAGACAGCACGACCCGGTACAAAAAGCGCTTCGGGAAGGAAAGCTCGGGGAGACAGGGCACGTCCGCCATTGATGGAGATGAGACCCAGGATGATGGTGCTCTTGCGCCTATCGAGGAAGTTCCTTTTGAGAAGCCAACTTCGTCGAGGAAGAAAGCCAGCCGTGATCAGCCAAAACCGAAAGCAAGGGCACAAGCTGGCTCCGATAGTCGCTATTCTGAAGAGACCGTACAGAGACTCAGCGGCGCTATTGTTGAATCTCAAGGGAAGAAAACAACCTTCGATTAGGCGATACCTAAAAAGTACATAATCGAATAGATCAGCTGCCATGAATTGTTCCTGCTGTCGAGTAGCCTCTCAAACATTGGTAATTTAATCCTCGACATGGTCTTGTTAATGGCGCAAAAAGAGGGTCGCAAGCCCTATGGTAGTAGCACAGCCCCAATCCACTTGACAAGGCTGCTCTCACTCGTGGTTCTGGGGTTTGGTGTGTTGTGGGAGGCGAACGGATGATGTACGGAGTAGTACATAATAGTTATGTAGTTAATTACGCAGATTGACGCAATTCAGGTATCTGGAAAACGGTCCCATAGACAAATGCCGGTTGGCAAGTGGCTTGGTTCTCGTCAACAAATGCAGCGATCACGGTGTTTCTCTCCGCGACATGTTGACCGAAGTGGGATTGACTGAGCCTTGAGCATGGAAGTCGGGGTGCTCCTGGCGCTAACCCCACTGTGGACTAGCGCGACTGTGGATGGGCAAGTTGATTTGCGTCGCTTCTGATAACGGCCTCTTGTCGTGACCACGAGGAGGGCTTTTTTTTTACTATTTCCTGAGGCTTCCTCCTTGCGAGCGAGAGTTGAGTAGAACAAGGTATCTTTCTCCCTTTTGTCTCATTCTCTGTCTCGGCTTGTATTGCTCTTCTTTGTTTTGCAGTGAATAGAGAGGAGCTATCCTTGGCCTTCTTGCACAAGCTGTTGCCTCTTCATCCATCCGCCTCTCTCTCTTATTTAGCCTCACTGGTCAAACCCGGAATCTTACCCTTTATACCATCTATGCACACCATCTAAGTCCCTTTTGACCCTGTCGCTATCTATTCCAGCTTATTAACTTATCATTGGGAATTTTACAGATGGCTCCACACCACCGTCGCCGTCTTCCGGCCAGCCGTCGTAGAATTGAGGATGAGGGAGAGGAGGATGGTTCTGTTGCCGGAGATTTCGAAGACGACTCTTTGAGCGAGGCCAGCAGTCATCAAGATGAAGATCCTGAAGGGGAAGGAAGTGACTTCAGCGACAATGACTTCCCTGCTTCACCTGAATCTCGGAAAGACGAACGCGTCGAAAGTCGAACCCAGAAGGAGGCAAATTGCTCGTCCCCGACCAAGACTCCGTTTGCAGCAAAGGTTTCTGAGACAGAAGCAATGCTAAACGGTATGAAGCTGGCGGATGATACTGCAGGGGTCGCGGAGATACACTTTGACGACATGGCTTCGGAACATGATGCTAGCCCCGATCTAAGTGATAAAGCCACCCGGCTCCCTCAATCCCAACGGAGGAGAAGAGAGCAGACAGAAAATGGAAAGGAGAGGGGAGCAAATCCAGCCTTCGTGCCAACTCGTGGCGGGTTCTTCCTCCATGATAAGAGAAGCAGCAACTCTCCAAATGGTTACCGCACCGCCAACAACAAGCTGAAGAGCAAGCCCCACGGCCTTATTGTAGACAGCAACGTAAGGTAAGTCTGGGATATCTATAAGTCATCTTGGTCTCTGCAAATTGCCTAATAACGTCTCTTTTCGTCGATATAGGCGTCCTCCGCCAAAGCCTGACATTACGGATGGCCCTTGGACCCACGACCTACATGAATCCGTCAACGAAGGACCTCCTCCCGCCTCTAGTCGACCGTCTTCCACTCTTCCCTCAAATATGCCTTCTGGGCAGAGCTCAAAACCAGTTCCCACTGCCCCTAGATCGACGCCACCCAATCGCTCCTTTTCAAGTACTGTCTTGATTGGGAATGTGCCTGTCGTTGTTTTCTTACCTGGCATGGCCAATCCGATTCCTTACTCTGCTGTTCCAAAGAAACAGCATACACGTCTTCCTCAGCATCGACCACCGTTGCGCAGAGATAAACCAGTGAGAATTGCGTTGCCCGGCTCACCACCACGCTACATCTTCCCTTCCACAGAACGATCATTCATATTCATCCCTCGTGCTCTTCGCCCGAATCAACAGGCTTATCGTGGTCGTGGACGCGGTGGATTTTACAGCAGCAGAAGAAGCAGCCTGTATGGAGGAACAGTGTATACTCCGAGTCTACCGATGAGCCGCAGATCGTCGGTTGGCAGAGTCGCTTCTCGCAACGGTATGATTTCGCCAGGTGGCTCCGTAATGTCCCGCCCGCCCATCATGGCTGGAGAAGCTGGAAAGCCAGTGGTTCGCCTCCCGCCCGTAGGACGAGGACCACTGCCAGCCGGCCCAATGGCGCCTCCTCCAGCCCCTCCCAGTGTCGCCTCTGCTGCCGGAGCTGTGCCGCAACCCCTCGCTCAGCCATCGCCCTATACTCCTCAGCACCCTCAGTTCCGAGAGAATCGCCCGACCCCTACTATACCCATGCACCAACCTAGACCACAGAAGACAGTTTCTGTAGCCGACATCGAATCGCCTATGAGCCTATATAACCCTCCTCAGCAGCTAGAACAGCCTTTTCACCATCAAGTGCCCATGGCACTCAATGGCCCTCCATACGGTCCTGAAACAGCAGGCTACTCTTCGCATACTCGTAACGTGTCACATCCTCCTCAGGCTTCAGCTACACCGCTCTCTCAAATCCCAGAGCGCGCGATCCATGCTCCTCCCTTCCAACCATACCCTTATCAGCAACCCCAGAACTACTATCCATCCGCTTCTTACCCGTCAGGACCGGTTGGGTACCCGGGTCCAAATCCAGATTATCCGCAGTACAGTGCCCCGGTACCTCCGGGCCCAACACCCGTGTTTGTTCCCGCTGGTCAACAGGCTCCTTATGGCATGCCTTCTCAACCTACGACCGAGCAGTTCACCCAATCCGGAACCGTTGCGCACGAATCAAACGGCACCGTTTATTATTATGATGCATCTCAATACCCGAATTACCCCAACGCTACCTACCCTGTGGCGCCGCAAGGCGGAGTTGTCGGGATGGGTGGCATGATTACACCCCCCGGGACTTATTACTATCCCCAACAGCCAAATGGGACAGTGTACTACTCCTAAGAAACGCTAAACATAATGTCTCCCAAAGTGCTTTGTTATTAGTACCTTGTTTAACCTATCCCTATTTTTATATCATTCCAATGTCTCCGGGATTACATGATAGCCGGCGTCCCTTTTGATGTTTCGTGATTATGGCTCGATTTTTCCTAGCTAGATTCTTTTAAGTTTCATGCATACTGGCGACCTCTTCTTTCGATATTGCAGCAAATTCCCCCTTCTGAATTTCATATGCTTGTGAACCTTTTTCGCCCCCCCTCTTTTTCCATTCTTCCTTACTTTTGGTTTGTGAAATCTTTATAATGATAGCATCAGTTATGCCGTATTTATTCGAATATTTTTGCTCTCTCCATTCAGCGACTGCCCAATGTTTTGTTCAAAAGCATGGACACATTTCTTTTTTGTCATATCTCTAGCGATTCCAAGATTGACCTTTGACTGACCACCCAGCGGTTATCCCTGTGTTCTTCTGTTCAAAGCAGCACTTTTTCCGTGGTACTTCCTTTTTTTTTAAATCTGCTCCCCTTAGGTGCCCCATGTTAAGCACTGCACTCTCCTCCGTTTTCGTTTCTTCGGCCTTTCGCTTTTATCGGATATAAGGTTGGTGTCGAGCGCACCTTTTTTCCCCCTTCTATTTTTTCTTTGTTTTGTGGCCTTTCACTACCATTTTCTGTTTCTTTTCTCTTTCTCTTTTTCATTTTTTCCTTTTTTTATCGGGTTGTCTATTTGTATCAACTTCCAAAAATTCTAGAAAAAAAAAAAAATCGCCTATGTCAAAAGCAAATGAAATGGCTCATGACCACTTTTCTTATGTCTAATACTTAATAACGCCTCTTCCCAAGTTTCTTTTCGCTTTTGAAGAGAAACAACATAACACATAATTCAGCCATCAATTATCCCCCTCCCCGGACAGCTTTTGAACCATGAAAAGCATTCAAACTTCTATCTGCCTCAAACTCCTCATAACGGGGCGAGACAATCAATAATTTCTACCCACTACTTCTAGCAACGGCCGCCAAATAAAGCTTTTCTATGCTTCCACCACTCCGGCCAAAATCCAGCTATTTCCCATGGCAATAACATGGCCGATAAATTCATCCACCAGAATATTTTCTTATGATCAGTTGGCATGGGCAAAATCAATGTGACAGTTATCAGGGAGCAATTTGTGAAACGTTGCTGAAAATTGTAGTTTTGGACAGTGCTGAGCCGGCGCAACAATGAAAGCTATGGAGAGAAGAAATAGAATCAAATGGTCCACACGGTAGCGTGATCTCAAGCAAAACTTCCAGAACAAGATCCAATCTAGCCAGGATCTGGTGAGTGCAAATTATAATGGGGCGAAATGGTAAGTTACTGCAACTGAGCAAATTGTCTCAGCTTGGGCTTTGTCAGCCATCTTCGGCCAGCAGATAGTTATCAAGACGACGACCAGGAGCGCGCATCAATAAAATCCAGGTGATCATTCGATTCATTCCCGAAGCATTGCTCTTGCGAATCTCTGGAACTGGAATAGAATTGTGTTTTCGAACAAATGCCAATGTTTCCGCTTCCATTTGAATTCCAACATGGCTCCCATATTTGCGAACAGTGGAATCACTCTCGATTACAATCTTCACGGTGCATTGCTGCAGTTTTCTGGAGTGCTGTGCACGAGAGGAAGCCGCGAGCTCACTGACGAATTGTCAGTGGACAGGAAGGGTCCCTTTGGACCACCTCTAATTCACAAGTCTTATACCTTTGGGATAAACAGAGTATCTGGTGACCTTGTCAGATATCATGATGTTCTGCGGCAAAGTTATTGGAAGAATCGCTGGAATAACCAGATTATTCTGCAGTGCTAATTATAATCTGGGTTTAACCAACACCCCCTATAATTGTATTCATTACCGGGCTTAGCAGTCATTCCCAAATGCCAAGGCAATCAGAGTCAACTCATTGTAACCATATTTGTTGATGATGGTGTTGAATGAGGGTTCTTGCAGAAGCTCTGTTGTGGTTAGATGTTTGCTAGGGTAACTCGGCAGGTTCAATTTCAGGGCATGTGCATTTAACAAAAGTTGCAAGATCAAGCTTAGGGTCAGGCGTGTTGTTTTGGCCATGCCGTGAATCGAAGCTTTTCTCAGTGTTAACTACTCCGTATTGATACTTACATTGCTCAGGCTTGTGGGCCTAAACGTGGAACCATAGAACTTGGTAGCGTAGTAACCCGCACTTCCATACACAGTTAAAATGGTCCATGCATATATGTCGAGCTCCATAAATATACATATATAGCTCTACATGTCACAAGCTGTGGCTGGGGGGTTCACTATGGAGTCTATCTGGAAAGGTATATGAAAGTGGTGGAAGTCCCTTTGAGTCACTGGAGCGCCTGGTTTCACCGCTAGACCAAAAGGCACTAAGGTACGATATCTCTGTATGTATTTTAGGGATCTCTATAGGCATCACAATCTCTCCCTATCTCTAGGCTTCGCGAATGGGATGATTTGTTGGTTTAGTGGCCAGCCAAGCGCTTCATACCTAGTAGGCCCGTCAAGATCATCGAGAGGAACAATGACTATGGAGTACAGTTCTTCTCATTTAAATCCGTTGGGCATGTTGGTAGATGGATGCACCGAAGCGAGTAGAAACTAGTGGGGGAATACTCACCATGGATTCCAATTCCAGCATTTTGAAGATTTTCCGGAGGCTCCAGCAGCTGCTTAGTAGCAGACATACATCTCTGTTGTACTGTATACCACGGGCCATCCAGACAGTGGAGAATTCATCATTGCCGAGTTTTATGCTCTATCCAATAATCTTGATTGAGCACCCCCTTTTCCCAGGTAGGGATAAGATAGAAAATGTGCAAAGTGCTCTCCTTTTTGTATTTAACAGCTTCTTCAGCAGCTAAGATCTACCCCCACGTCTTCGGTGGTTGCATAGTAGCCGGAATCAGCCACGTCAGTATCCTCGGGACACTGAGCCTCTGCCGCTTTCCCATGGCTGCTGTATTTGCATTCACATCTGTGGGAGTCATGATATGTATTTTGTGGTGGGTTACTTTTTGCACATACAGTATGCATTGCAGGGCAGGATTCACTCTGGATGAAATTTACCAGCAATTATATGTGGGAGGTTATAAGAGCAGCAGACACAGGATAATGGAAGGCATTAGACACAGGGGAGGAGATGATTGGAAAGAAACGGATGCGAGAAGGGCCCTTCAAGGAGTAATGAGAAGTGCACACACAGGAGTGGATGGGGATTTGCGGATCGCATGGATCAGCACCAGCTCAACGAGCCCTCCATGTCCAAACGCAGCCCTCACGGAGGTCGGTAGCAGTGCGAGTGTGAGGTAGCTCGTAAAGGCTGGTGTACCCAAAGAAGGGTCACAAAAAGCATTGGATGCCAGACGGGAGACCTGGAAATAGTAGCGGTCAAGATATCAAAGGACGTTTAGGTCGTGTCACGGAAACAGGCAACCTCAATGGCTCTGATGGAATAGCTCTCGAAATGCCCCTACTGCGATGCCGCTCGCATACGCCTCCTTATCTTGGACCCACCACGACGAACATCTCCTATGAAACTGGGGATATTCGCCAGGCCAGAGTCTGGCGCCAGTTTATCTACCCAAGCTATCATCCACCAGCGGTATTCCGCAGCGACTGTTCCTTGTTCGGGGCTCCTTTTCCGCCTCTCCAGAGCAAGTTCTTGAGAATGTGAGTTATGCTCCTCCAGCATTGTGCAAAGCACACCAAGAGTAACTACCTAGATTTCCCCAGTAACTCCCGAGCAACTTGCCTACTCCATGCTCCATGGGTGAAGTTGGTGAACGCAGGGGAATTAGCTCACCGCGTCCAGTAACAAACAGACCAACCCGTAACATGCTTACCGCCTCCTGTCATGTGACGGCGACTGATATCATCACTCTGGCAGCTTCTCCGCATTCCGGTGGCCTCAAACATCGCCACTATGCCTGTTCTCGCCTAGCGCCGTACCGGGCCCAGGCAGCCGGCCGGTGTCATCATCCTGCATCACCATGTAAGTTACAGTACCAGCCTCGAATTGGCAGGCAACGAGCGCAGGACGTAACACTGATTTCCATACAAAACAGCCGGAACCCTCGTCGCTGGTTGGCTCATTCCGCTGAACTTTGCATGATTCCGACCCCCTCAAGTTCCATCTTCCCCCGGCAGAGCTTCACCTCTTCTTCCCTTCCTCGCCTTCCGCTCCATTCTCCATCAACCCCCCATCTCGTCACGCACCCTTTACTACATCCATCGAACCTCCACTCCATCCTCCATCGAAGCAACCCCGAATTCATTTGTTTTATCAAGATAACATTCTTCCTCAGCAGTCGGCCTCATCTTTCGACAGATGCTCAGCTAGGACTCGGTCCCTCTGAAGCCCTTCTGCTCCAGGCTTCCGTTTTATCGTCAGCCTTGTCCTTCTCTCAAAGATATTTCAGCTTTGTTAGGAATCTTGATATCAGTCTTGAATCATGAATAGATCAGTGGGGCCCGACACCCTCATCGCCATCAAGGCCAACTACGAAGGTACCAATCGACGCTTTAAGCTTCCCTTGAAGGACCTCGAAGCCTACACATTTCCCCGAAAGGTGATCATCCCTTCTCTTCCTTGTGACCCACACTTGCTCGCTGTCGTGGAACCTCTCTGTCGCTTCTCTCAAATCCCTCGTACTCTATGTTCCTACGTCGCTTCCGCTAACTCGTAGTGTCTTCTCCTTTTAACAGATCCGAGAAGTCCTTTCACTTTCCGTCGATTCTAACATCGTCATCGAGCGCTATTCAGACAGTGCTGCAAGATGGGTGACTCTGAATAGCAGTGATACCGCTATCTACAAGCAACTCTACCGGGCTGCCAAAGCCAAAACCAAGCTCAGGATAAAGATTACCGAAAGCAAACAAAAGCCCGAATGTGTGCCAGAGCCAGAATTACAACCAGCGCACGCCAACGAGAGTACGATCCCTTCAACAGTTCACTCTGCTCGCGGCAGCTACCTGAACACTGTTCTGAATGATCCCCTGCCGATCACAGACAGTGATCATGGTGCCTCATTCAAGGAACGTAACCATCCCCCGGCGATTAAAGCTGCAGAAGATATTGAAAAGCCAACACGTGAATCAGAGGATGCATGGAAAACGGATAGGGAAGGCAGGCTACACTTCAATAACAGGACTAACGTCGCCGCGACCTTTTATATTGACTGTAACCACTGTGGAAACTCTATCCCCAATGCTCATTGGCACTGCAGTATTTGCGAAGATGGTGACTATGACCTGTGCCAACGCTGTATTGACTCCGGACTTCTCTGTCCGGGTGAGGATCACTGGCTCATTAAGCGCTCTGTGATTGATGGATTGGTCGTGAATAGCACCACAGAGACCATTGCCCCCAAATCCCAAGAACAGGTGACAAAAGAATTCGCCGAAGAGGTCGAGGAACCCGGGCTCGCGACTGTCGAGGAGGAAGCTGAACTCGAAGCCCCCGATGCCCCCGAACCGGAACCCACGGTTGAGATGCGTACATGCAATTCTTGCTTCCAAGGTAGGATCGGGTCTCAAATAATGGCGAGGCTGTGCTGGCTAACATTTCCGTAGACTTCGAGGAAGCGCAGCTCGTGACCTGCTTTGACTGCCATGACTATGATCTTTGTTTCAGCTGCATCATCAACGATGTCCATGGCCACCATCCTGGTCACTCTTTCTTCTTTACTCACGATGTTGGGACCTCAAGCCTCAAGGATACTGTTGGACACCTCTGTGACCCAGGTCGTGGAGTACGCCACATGGCCCTGTGCGATGGGTGCGATAAGGTTGATAACCCCCATCCTTCACAATAATTATGGCGCACAGCGATACTGATGTTCACTAGCGAATCCGTGGTGTACGCCACAAGTGTCTTGACTGCCCTGACTTCGACTTTTGTGGCGAATGTGTCCATGCTGCTCCGGCGACCCACCCAGGTCACCGGTTCGTTCCGCTCTATGAGCCGATTCCAGCTGCAATTGACTCATATGAAGTCCACCACGGCGTCTATTGTGACGGCCCACTCTGCCAAGGGAAAGGAGACAATCTATATATCACTGGCGACCGCTACAAATGTGCCATTTGCCATGACACCGATTTCTGCTCTCGCTGCGAGGCCCACCCTGACAATACTCACAACCGCACTCACCCCCTCCTAAAGTTCAAAACAGCTGTTCGCCATGTCTCCATCAGTACTATGGGTGAGAACGACAGAGGGCAGCCGTTGCAGAGAATGGGTGATCGCCCTAATACGAAGACTTCGTTCACCGAACCTATGGCCGTGGGTGTTTCTCACGCTGCAACCCAAGTACAAAAGACCAGTGACCTTCCTGCACCACGTTCACCATCACCGCCCCTCCCTACCTTGAAGGGAGAGAAGGTGTCTTCTCCGGGCGACTTAGCTTCGTCAGGACAATTGCAAGCACAGTTCATGCGAGATACTTATCCGGATGGATTTGAATTACCTCGTGACACCGTTTTTACTAAAACCTGGACCCTCCAGAACAGCGGCGCAGCTCCATGGCCCGAGGGCTGCAGTGTTCGATTTGCTGGTGGTGATACAATGTTCAACATTGATTCTGATCACCCAACTAGTACGAGCGAGCTTATTTCGGCAATGGAAAGCAATAAAATTACCAAACCGGTTGCTCCGGGCGATTCTGCTGATTTCAGGTTGACTTTGAAGACTCCTCTCCGCGAGGGTCGAGCTATTTCATACTGGCGTCTTAAAACTCCCGATGGAGCTCCTTTCGGTGATCGATTATGGTGTGATGTCGCTGTTGTGAGCGGAAGCAAATACATTACTATTGAAGAGTCCGACAAGCCAGAGAATGGATCGGGTACGGAGTCAGCTCATTGTGAAGATGTGATGAGCTTTGAAGACAAGGCTGAGGAACCCCTTGCAGCCAGTGACATGGTCTTCCCGAAGCTGGAGCGGGAGTCTCCTGAGATGAGCATCAGTGATACAAAGACGACGTCATCGGCGACATGCTGGGATGGCAGGGAGGACGAGCATGACCTTGCCGACGACGTTGAAAGCTTGACTATGGACGATGCAGACACTGACGGCTTCCTTACCGATGAAGAGTACGATATCCTGGATGCCAGCGACCAGGAGTTCCCCGTTGGAACCCAAAAGCATGAACAGAAATAAGCTCGAGGTCTTGAATTGCTGTGCTTAAATGGTATGTAATCCATAACATAACTGGTCCATAAAACCTTCGTTTCATATCTTCCAGAATGACAACACAAATCTATGCCTCCGCATATGTTATTATCCTATCTATCCTTTTTCCTTCATTCTTTGTGAGTTTTGTTCTGAGGGAGTTCGATGGGAAAACCATGACTTATTGTGTCTTACAACCGAGGCTTTGTTCCTTTTTTAAACTACCTGCTCCTCCTCCACTCTACAGCGACCGGGCTTGGGGGGTGGATAAATGACTTGTGAGGGAGTTGGAAATTAAATTTTCACCCAACACCGGCGTGCTTTTTGGCTGTTTTATCTATTATTTTCACCCTCTTGCAATACTCCGGCCTTGAGAATTACGTTCTTTCCACTCCGTTTACGACGACGATGATGTCTACATCGGGGGATCTGATATCTCGAGAGTTGTCTGAGAGAAGTCTGTTTAGTGGGACTGGGTGTAATTGTTGCTATCTGTTTTTTTTAAGTATCTCGGTATTGCCGTCACTGTATGGAGTAATGCCATCGTGTTCTTCTCTGTATAAATAACATGAAATGCGCCTCTGCAGCCGGCAGCTTTGCGTGTCTTGCGCGATTTGTAAGATTCCGTTCCTTTTCGGGGTTTGTCGGAAGGGGAATCGAATGTGGCTGATAGAGTCAAAGGTACCGCAACACCCCAAGCAAGCCCCCGTGGTCTAGTTGGTCATGACGCCGGTCTCATATCAACACATATGACGAGTAGCCACAACTACTTGGAAATCCGGAGGCCACCAGTTCGAACCTGGTCGGAGGCAAGCAGCCAAATTTCCCTTTTTTTTAGTTTTTAGTTTTTGTGTGCGTCTCTCTCTCTCTCTCTCTCCTTTTTCTCTTGTTTTTTTTAATGATCGGGTGGTTATGATCTCCCTTCTTTTTTTTCTTTTTTTTTTTTTTTTGGTAGATGCGGAATCTTCCACGCCCTATGCATGTCATGCCGGCTTAACCGCTCCAATTTATGGTAAATGACCTCAGATATCTCCAACAAATGGTTGAGAAGTCAAGTGGCTACCGAGTATACGAATCTCAGCCTTCAACATGTGAGAGACGTGGTTCCTTCTCTACGATACGAGGACATGTTCAAAGCCCATATTTCTACCCTCGACCTCACTGAGCCAGGTTCTCTTTGCTACTAGACTATCTAGTAGGAGGAACCCGCCTATGTTTCTTTTCTCCTCTCCCTAGCTAAGCCGCCCTCTCTGAAAGCAAGATGTCCCAGCCCGACGACTAGCAGCCTTTCCTGGGTGGAAATGCATTGTCGCAAGCCCCATCATTTCACATTCACCCGGTACGCTCCCCGCGGGACATCGCGACCGCAACCTCCTTGATCAAGTCCTACACCGATTCACTAGGCATCGACCTCAGCTATCAGGACTTCAGCACGGAAATCAGTCAGATGCCGGGAAAATACGCCCCGGAAAAGGGTGGCGAGATTTTGCTCGCCATCCAAAACAACTCCACCAGCGACAACTTCTACGAGCCTGTCCATGCAGAGGAAAGCCATGGGGGCAGCGTATCTCCCCGCAAGAACTACTGCTGCAGCTGTACATACGTCGAATCCGACGTCCTCGGGTGCGCAGCTCTTCGCAATTTGCCGTCTATAAACCCCTTGCGCATCTGCGAGATCAAACGGCTTTATATCCTCCCGCGCGCCCGCAGTCTGGGTATCGGCAAGGCGCTTATCAATGCAGTTATCGACACGGCCCGGGAGAAAGGGTACGCTGAGATGCGTCTGGACACGCTGCCGACCATGCATAGCGCTATTGCGCTCTATAAGAGCCTAGGTTTTGAAGAGATCGACGCGTACTATGAGTGTGACTGTCCCGTGGAGGGGAACGGTGTTTTTGGAGTTGAGGTTGGGTCGGGGTTGTTCTGTGAATGATTTAAGTGGAGTGCTTACGCAGTAGATGGCTGGATATCATGGTCTGAGGACTGAGCGCCTTGCATACTGCTGTGGAAGTAACACGTCTAGGCGGATTTTGGAGAATTTGTTGCAGTTGCTCACAAGCAGGAAAGGCTATGGGGGACAACCGCAAGAGTGCTATTTCTTTACCCTTAAAGGTAGTGAATCATGATATACATATTATAGAGAAGAAGCAAAAGGTTGTTTCAAACCTGAGTAAGCATTGCTCTTGTATTTTATCATCAGGAAATTTCTCTAGATTAAACATAGAGAATGGAAAACAGGAAGACAACACTAGCCCAAAGGGGCATGAAATCAAAAAAAAAAAAAAAAAAAGCTCTTCTTGCTTCGCCATCGCTCTCTTTCCAGCCAGAATTTCAGGTTAATATATGTATAAGTATATATGTGTTAATCTACTATGTCAGCGCAGAAGAAAACAAGAACCAGGGCAACCTTTTCAATAAGTTCAATGAACATAGAAGGAAGAACTATAATGCTTGCATAAACAGGAAAAGGGATAACTATTCAAAACTAAACGGTGGCCCTCCCTTATTTTATGTTGCTGTATTCAAATCAAGTAACGCCATGTTTGCATAGTCTGTGAAACGAATAGGAAAAAGACTGCTTGTCATGTTGGCTCATCATCAATTGCAACTATTCAGAAGACTGATAGTTGCAATGACATCCGCCGGTTCGAGCAGATGCCAACTTGCTTCAGTTTGCTTTGAGCTCGCGCCAACTGTGACAGCGAAAACTCGATCTTTCGGAAGATTTGAATGCCGTAGAGCGCGGAACATATCTATACAATCATAAGCTCGTTAGTGTTCGGGAAGTAGGTAAAATATTCCTAAAAAGAACAAGAGGGTGAGCGCACCTTCATCAGTGAAGTCATCACCAAGACATAAAACGAATTCTGGGCGCCCTTGACATTCGTTCACAAGCCTCGACGCAATCTCGCCTTTATTAACAAATGTCGGCCTAACCTCCAAATTCGCTTTACCTGCCATAATCTCGACGTCCCATTTCCTTGCCACAGTATTTTCCAAATGCTTCCTGCACTCCTTGGCCTGATACGCTCCGTATTCAGGGTCAACACGTCGATAATGCCAAGTCAATGCAACACGTTTTCGCTCGATGAAAGAGCCCTGTGTTCGTTCCGTATAATGCTGGAAGATATCAAGGACTTCTTTCTGCCACCCCATATTAGATTTCTCCGTAAGATTTTCCCAGACCTCATTGTGCGGTTTACGAATGAAGCATCCGTGCTCTGCGCTTAATCCTAATTCCGAGATGTGGCCCATCCATTCCTCAAGGAAGTTCTGGTCACGCCCGCTGATGATCCAAACAGAATTCTTAGGATCTGCTGCGAGTGATTTGAGGGTTCTAACAACGCGGTCTGAAGGAATGGCAGCTTGCGGGTCTTTCACAATAGGTGTTAATGTGCCGTCATAATCAAACATGAATAAACGTCTTCGGGCCTTGCGATATTGATATAGCAATTTTGCTTTGTCCAGCACCGGCGTAGCGATTGATTGATTGAAGGACGATAGGTTGTTCAACAGCCGACCAATATATAGATCTGACCATATTGAAACTGTGTGTGTTGTTACATATTTATACAGTGCTTCATGCTGCTCCTCACGTTGTTCGTAACTCATAGTAAGTGCCTCATTTATAGCCGCAGCGACTCCACCCGAATCCCAAGGATTGATGTGGATTGCATTGTGTAAGCTTCCAGCAGTACCAGAGAATTCCGATAGTATAAGTGGTCCATGATTCTCGTGCTGACAGACAACGTATTCCAAGCTGGTGGTGTTCATGCCATCACGGACACTGGTGATAAGACCCACGTCGGCTGCACGAAGAAGCGCAAAGTATTCATGACGGGAGAGATACTGAGGATAATGTTGAACAGGAGAAAAGCTGAGCGATCCGTATCTGCCATTAATGGTCGATACAAGGTGCGACATCTGACTTGATAGTTTGGCTTCTGATTCCTCCTTTTCTTCTTCCACACTAGTTGGGCTCGTGACTTGTATCAGGACGACCTTATCACGCCATTCCGGATATCGCTCCAAGAACATTTCAAAGGCTATGAGCTTCTGGGTCACTCCACGAGCCGAATCAAGGCGATCTCGACCGATGATGATCTTCTTTCCAGCATAGAGCTTCTTGATCTCAGCAATAGTTTTTTCGATGTTGGGTTCCCCATATGCCATCTTCCGGACTGCGTCCACATCAATGCCAATCGGGAAGACGTCCACGGCGACATGGGCACCGTACGCATCGATTCCTGCAGAATTTGAGTCGAATCTCAATATGCGTGTACAACAAGAGGAGAAATGGCGAGAATATGTAAATGACTGAAAACCAATCATGTTGGACCCTAAAACACCGGTAAGAACCTCCTTTCTTCGGGTCAGACAGCGGAAAAATTCACTGCTAGGGAACGGAACATGCAAGAAAAAGCCAATGTAAATCTCCGGTATCCGCTGCCTCAACATACTGGGCAACAAGAACAAATGGTAGTCGTGGATCCAGACAATATCTCCTGGACGATAGATCTCCAAAATTCGGTCTGCAAAGAGTTGATTCATGCGTTGATAGTCCTGCCACCAGCGTCGTTCAGCACGCCCATCCGTCGGGCCGTGCTGCTTGTAGTGAAACAAGGGATAGATTTCACGCTCAGCGTATCGGCGCCAGCGGGTTTGGTCCTTGAGGTGCAGGGTTTCTTCAGGCGACTCGGAGTCATCGCTGAGCCAAACTGGAAGGATCATGCCATATTTACTCGAGTGTAATTGCTTTTCGAGGCGATCTCGGTCTTCTTTTTTGACGTGAATTCCATCTGCCGGAGGTTGGGGCTTATGGCTGCCATCGACAGGAATGGGGGCGGAAGCCTTGCTTAGGGAGGTCATAGGAGTTTCCAGTGATAGCGACTCGAGACCAGAGCCTGTATGTGGCCTGCTTTGAAAATATGAGTCTTGTAGAGTGGAATTTTCCACTTCTCCAGTCCACCCAACCAGGGTGTGAGACCACGGATTTTCCGATGAGGCGAGATACTGGAAGGAATCGAACAGAGCGGAGGTCCCAGGCCGGTGATGCAGTTCCTGCAGCCGTGATCAGCATCTGGTCTAGTGTGAACGAAAGCCCAGACTCTGAAGTCTTACCCAATTCAAACCGGACCGAAAGCGGAGCTTATAAGGGATGCAGAACGAAGCGCTGATAATCCGTCCCGTCAAACGGAGATCCGCATGCTCTTCAGGTCTCGCCATAGCCGACAGCGTTGGTCTTCCCTCCATCAAACTCAGACGACGTAAAAGCTCGATCCCCGACTTTGCGCCCTTTGCTGCCTCGGAAGGAGTGCCCGGCGATGTGCCTAACGTTCCATGTTCTACGCCTGACATGGCCGCTGCCGAATTAGAGGGCTCGTGGCCTTTGGTGTCTGCAGGTCTCGAGGAGGAATTCATCTGCTCCCCAAAGCACACACCATCGCTCGTCTGGCTTCTGGTAGGAAGAATCGTTGAATTCGACAGCATTGGTGGCGATTCGGCTGATGAATGTGCCATGTGCAGGGGGCCTGAGGGATATAGGACGGGTATAAAGAACGGTTCGCTGACGGCTGGCGAATCTACAGCAAGACAAATCAATTGTCAGCCCGCCCGAAGTGAAGTCATTTCGTCATCAGAGTGACGTGTAGGCTGGAGTAAAAAAAAAAAAAAATGATGAGATCACGAACCTAATTACCTGGGCACGGGGCCAGGAAAGCGGGCGGCGGCGGCGCTGCGGCGAGAGCCGAGAGAGAAGCAAGGCGAGACTGGAGCCAGGAGGGATTGAACTCCGTGGTCGTGCGATGCACTGCGGGGCACAAAGCAGCAGAGTGGGAGTTGGGAGAGCACGTCTTTCTTGGCTGGGAAGAGTGGCTTTTTTGGGGCGGATCAAGGATTTAAGACAGCCCTACCTAACCTTGTTGTTTGCAGACATCCAAGGACAATCCTCTCAATCTCTAAACTGCTCATGTAGATGGGACAGGAGAGACAGGAGGTTGACCGGTTCTTATCCTCCATGGAGAGGGGATAGGATAGCAACCCGATTGACGACCCTGGCCCAGCCCTCCCAAGATCGACGTCACAGAATCTCGGAGAATATTCAACCAGTTACTGAGTGAACTAACTAGTTAGTTTAACCCAAGCAATATAACCAATTCGATGACAACCCCAGGTTGGGCTTCTGCTCTTGCGGCTCATCCTCCCAGCAAATCAAGCATCTGGTTTACCTTTCATTTAACATTCACGACTCGGTGGTTACACTACATTCCTCTTCTTCGCATTAACTCTGTATTCTATTTTGAACAGGAGTCTCGGCCTACGCCCTCGCACCTTGGATGGATATCCCTACCATGGTTTTGGCCTTGGTCTCACTCCCAAGTCAGAACAGCAGACAGTCCGATGAGACCTTCCAACGGGCTAATTCTACGGGTTGATGATACCCGGCTCAGCCCCTTAGATAGTATTAGATTCTATGAATCCAACAAAATGCCCTCAGTCCTGCGAATATCGTTATGGTGGCCGGAGTCCTTCTAAGTGCTTTCAGTGCACAGTCAATGTTCCAAATTGTCGCCCATGCCTGTGACCCTACTTCCGCTTGAGGCGCTTTTTCAACTAAATAACTCCTTGCAGATGTTTAGACGTCTGGATTTGGCATCTCATTCTCACAGCTGGTAGACAATATTTGGCGCTTTTCTAATACGAAATCTCCCCTGAGCCGTCTCTTCCTTGAGGACATCAGCCACCAATCGCGATGATATCATCAACATGGGTAGGGTCCCCAAAATAAAAATAAAATAATAAATAAATAAATAAAAAAATTGCTTTGACGAAATATGAAGCACATTCATGGCATCCTAAATTTTCTTCAATCCAAATCTTCATTTTTGAAGCTTGTGCCCACAGGCATGGAATATGGGCAGAGGATACCTATCGGAGATCCATGCGGGTTGATATCTAAAAGATGTAGTTTATAAAAGCGGTGAACTTATTCTTTTATCCTCTTCTTTAGGGAACGAATTAATGCTTGAGATATTCTCCGATTCGTGTAAAATACCATGCTTGGTCGGTCGGTTTGGCAGTTATTCCACGATTTGCACAGCTTAACGTTCAACCCCAGCTCAGTACAAATAACCAGTTGACTGATCAGCCCGAGAGTTTGGATGACTAATCCACCAAAAAGAGCTGCATCCAAAGTCTTCCCGCAATCCAGTGAAGAGGAATGCGAAGCTGGGTTCATTGCCTTCGAGTGTCACGGCCGTCAGATTGAACGGTGCTTAGCTGAATGTCCTC